TTTGTTTAGAAGTTAAAAAATATATATATTATAAAATTGTCTATCACAAAATATTTTCTGAATTAAATCAATATTAGGAGGGCTTCTCAAAAACATACTAAAAATGTAAAATCCTTCTTCTACCTATATCTTACACTAAACCAGATAATTAAAATTTACAATCGCATGTGGAGAGGTTACAAACCGCATTCCGCAGATAGCTTTTTCGTTCACATGTAACCTGTGGGTCGCGCAATAAATCAGCATACTGTATATTTAGTGGCGTTTCCCCGTTGCACCGAGAGCCATGCCGCTGGCACGGCCGAGCTATAATTACGTTGCTTCGAAGTGGCTATCGTGATATTCCGGTATCCCTTCAGAATCTAGTTAGCCCAGAGTAAATTTCTCGTTAGATTTTCGCAAACAACTGTCTCTTAATAGGGCTCGTATTTATTTCTACTGTTCTGTTACATTTATTAATAACGTGCTCGAAGGGACCATATACAGGGTCGCTGAATGTATGGAAACGGAAAATAAGACGAACGTTTTAGGGTTTTTTAAACCTTGTTATAATAAAGTAAAATTAAGAGGAACGCTCAAAAAGTTATGACGAAACAAAGTTAACTTTAATGGAACGGTATTTAATGGAACACTCCGTATATTACCCCATATTTCAATTTTATTCCATTAAGTTCATAGTCCATCAAGTTACCTTTGAAAGTTTGTAGCTCCATAACAACGCCGCGTCGTTCTTTTGTCTTAAATAGTGATGACAACACAATCATGTCAAAAATACATTTAGTGAATAATTTTCTCGCAAAAATGGCGTGTTTAAGTGAAACCGAGCGTATTCAAGTTTTAATTATCATAAGATATGGTGATAGAAGTTGTGACGAAGTAATGGANTACACTTTTCCCCCCTCTACATTTCAAAAAAAAATTCGTCAAAATCGCTCCATAAATAAAAATGTTATGAGGGTGGCCCGCTTTCAAATGGGTCACTCTGTATATCTTACACTAAACCAGATAATTAAAATTTACAATCGCATGTGGAGAGGTTACAAACCGCATTCCGCAGATACCTTTTTCGTTCACATGTAACCTGTGGGTCGCGCAATAAATCAGCATACTGTATATTTAGTGGCGTTTCCCCGTTGCACCGAGAGCCATGCCGCTGGCACGGCCGAGCTATAATTACGTTGCTTCGAAGTGGCTATCGTGATATTCCGGTATCCCTTCAGAATCTAGTTAGCCCAGAGTAAATTTCTCGTTAGATTTTCGCAAACAACTGTCTCTTAATAGGGCTCGTATTTATTTCTACTGTTCTGTTACATTTATTAATAACGTGCTCGAAGGGACCATATACAGGGTCGCTGAATGTATGGAAACGGAAAATAAGACGAACGTTTTAGGGTTTTTTAAACTTTGTTATAATAAAGTAAAATTAAGTATAGAGGAACGCTCAAAAAGTTATGACGAAACAAAGTTAACTTTAATGGAACGGTATTTAATGGAACACTCTGTATATTACCCCATATTTCAATTTTATTCCATTAAGTTCATAGTCCATCAAGTTACCTTTGAAAGTTTGTAGCTCCATAACAACGCCGCGTCGTTCTTTTGTCTTAAATAGTGATGACAACACAATCATGTCAAAAATACATTTAGTGAATAATTTTCTCGCAAAAATGGCGTGTTTAAGTGAAACCGAGCGTATTCAAGTTTTAATTATCATAAGATATGGTGATAGAAGTTGTGACGAAGTAATGGATATGTTTCATGAATTGCATACAGATCGGGAACGTATTTCTAAATCAACCCTTTCATCCTTTCAAAAACATTGCAACGTTTTCATGAAACTGAAGGTGTTACAGATCGGTGAAAAAGTGGAAAAACTCTGAGAATGTCATGTCAGATATGATGGAAAATTCATCTTTTCGTATAAGTATATTTGGCAACGTCATAGAAGTTGAAAATATTAGTCAGTAGAAGTAGAACATAACCTAAAATTTCAAATTTTTGCTCTATCAATGTGTAAAAGCTCCGAAAAGCAACTTGTTTTATGACGGACTTTGGGCACCAATTTCGATGGTAATAAAAAAAATTACAATTGTGACTGTAACTGTACTAAATAACTATAACATAATTTAATTTTTGAATGGAGAAGCTACAAGACTTACGTGAAGATATCTGCAATAACATGTATAGCTAAAAAGAAAACCCCTTCGAAATTAGATATTTTAACTCTAATCAAAAGTTTCTGTGAAGGTTAAAGGTCTATTTTTAATAAATTTGGAATAATACAATACAGCACTTTTTAATTCCTTCGTATTTTAAACAAAAAAACGTGACTTCTTATTTACGTCAAGTGGACCGAAGTTTAAACGTCTATACGTCTCTTAAACGTTTATATCAGGTCGACAAGAAACGTCTCATTTTGCATTTATACAGTTCGTTTATTCATTTCTACCAAATGCCTAACAGACCCGCGTTGCGGGCGAGCGTTATTCAAATTTAAATTGCGATAATGTATTATTAAGCCAGAACAAGACGAGGATTCGCGGGATACCGCTAAAGGAAATGGGATTGTCCCGGATACGGCGTGAAAGTGACAAAGCGAATCGCTTATAGCATTCCGAGGAAAGGCTTAATAACGGCGATTATGTAAAACTAGGCGGCGTGTCGTAAACTACAACGACTACATTGACGTCTCCCCTAGAACTTTAAGTGTATGACGTGTAGTGGATGACAGTGACAGCTACAGAACGGGGGATAGGGTGTAGAGGCTTTTAATTTGGAGAAGAAGAAGAGGTAGGAATGTTTGACACGCAACGTGGTGACATCTATTACATTAATTTAAAAACACTCGCATAGAGAAAACATTTAATTTTTTATTTGCGCGTTGATTTACAAAAACAGCGCTATCTCTTGGCTGCTTATTTTCGCGAATCAATTGGAATTCGAACCTAATTTATCGCCAAGTTTACTTGTTTCATTTGGGAACTTAATCATTTATATTGACAAATACTGCCGTTTTGATATAACCATAAGCATTTTTCATAGTAGACTTATTTGCACTCAACGAGGATGTCTTTCGACAAACTATATCCTCGATCCTTGTACAAAGCATACGAGACTCTCCCTTCGATTCCCCAACTGGAATTCCGCACGCGGTTTCAATAGACGCTGCCGCGAAAGCGACGCAGGCGCCCTACCGACGCCCGTCGCCGCACGCTGCATTGCGGGCCAAGCGGACCGTGGTACACTATGCGCTAATGTCCCTTTGGCCGTGATATTCAAAGGACTCAATCCCACACCTGTTAGCCTGGTCAGGAGACGAAGATGATACGATGCAGGTTTAGCTGTGGAAGACGGATGCGTCAGAAGTGGGATTTAAGCCAAAAATATCAGTGGAGACTGTTCAACTTGTAGCAGAAAATTAATTTATCAGCACCTACAGAGTGGAAAAGGGTTTTGGCTCCTCGAAAATTTCTCAAGAAGAAAAACGTCGTGAAAGTTTTGTTGCTTCTGTAAGTTTAACTGTCACAAAAACATTTAAAATGTATCCAACTATGTTTGAATTTACATTATTTTGTATTTCATTAATTAATTTAATAAATTTTACTGAAACAGTTACATTTTGAAAGTCATCTATTTTTAAAACATTTTTGCTAAATATTAGAGCATCTCTGCAACATTTTTACTAAACAATTATGCCGCTAAGTATAGTTTAACTTTCATTTTAATATTATAGAAATTAAATGCTAATTTCGCAATTTTGTACCAATGTATCTTCTTCGGTCTGAATATATTTCAATTTTCTATAGTTCTATAGAATTCTAATATTATCTGCGTCAACAAACACTTTCTTAAATTCGAAACAATTTCACACCAATTTTGGCATATGGCAAGCATCTAGGAATATCTGTTACATCTTTTTTTGTAATGAGACGTTTGAAACTAATCTTAAAATCTTTAATATTAAGGGAACAGCCTAAAATTTTTAACATTGCAAAACTTGCAGGGCATCCATCAAATGTTAATGACAATATCAACATATGAATCGTGGATGGGCTTCTTCTAAACATTACAGAACAAAAGATGGGCGTTGATTAGCTCTAACACCGTCCACAAGAAAATATCCCTCCTTTTCCAGGGTACTGAACATGAATATGAAATTAGTTTTTTGCGATTTTTTCGATCGCCAAGAATAATATCCGATTAATTTTCAGCTCTTTCGAAATTACAGGAATTGGAAATTTTCATACTTTGAAACTTTTACGTAAAGTAAATAATTACTAAAAAATATTTTACATACTCATAATTTTCTTAATATTTACAATAATATCACATTTATCACTATGTAGACTAACAAATTTATAAAAGCTAAACCATGGAATCTTGTGACGTCAACCGAGAAATGGTGTACATAATGACTGCATCAAGTTGCTTTATTTTTTAATTACCTAAAGAAGCAAACTTTTCAGCTATTTTCACCAACTTGTTCACTTTTATTTATACAATCTTCTACAATACACTTGCACATCATAAAGTAACTAATTATTGAAATCACAGCGATCCGTACATCAAGTTGCCAGACACGACTGATCTGACCCGCCTAGTCTCCCTGGGTGGGCTTCTGCCAGGCTACCAAACCAACTGCCTTCGGCATAATCGTCTTATTCGTTTAGTTTAGTAGGTCTATATCTTTCATATAAAAGATATGAATACTCTTTCTAAAGGTATATTCTAATTTTTCATAAGAAAATACAAAAAGGCATTTACTAAATTTTTACCCATTTTTATTTATACAAATTCTTTCACACTGCGTTAATTAACAATAAAAGAAAAAAGACTCGACTGTAGATTACCTAATTGCTAAATAATGGTTTGTTCGGATCATCTTCCATATTAAAAAAACTAACTGATCTCAACTTAACTTACTTTGAAAGGAATACGCCTTTATTTCTAGTGATTTATTTCCTTGGCATTGATCCTGTTTGGTACAGTTGGTAGATCTGTTTATCAACAGCTAACTGAAATGCGCAAGATTTCTTTCGAGAACATTTCCAAAACAAAAATTACCGGATAACTGACAAAAAAGTAAATTAAAAAGAACTTGTGAAATCTACGTATTTGATAAACATGGTCGATTACAGCAAGTGGAAAAATATCGAGGTAAAACACTATTTCGTTTTTTTATTTTGGCACGTTTTAACGCAACATAAAAATTCCAGATTTCAGACGATGAGGATGAGACCCATCCTAACATCGACACACCTTCCTTATTCAGATGGAGGCACCAGGCCAGAGTTGAACGTATGGAAGAAAGGAAACGTGAAATAGAAGTTTTCGAAAAGAAAAAATCTGATAATGCTAAAAAAGTCAAGGAATTGAAGGAAAAAGTTGCCAAAGCAGAGAGCTCAAAGGAAAACAACTTAGAAGACCTGAAAAAGTCTCTGCAGGAAGCTGAAAAGGAAGCCGAGAACATTAAAAATGAAGAGGACGAACTGAGAAAGAAAGATAAGGTAAAGAAAACATCTGGTAATAAATAAATATAGCAACATTGAATTACTTGATTCTTTCAGTTAACGCCCTGGAATGTGGACACTATCAGCAAACCTGGTTTTCAAAAGACTGTGATAAACAAAAAGCCGAATCGTCCAAAAGATGAAAACCTCACCGAAGAAGAACGTGAAGCACGTATGAAGCAATTTATCAAGGAAAACGAGAAAGACCTCAAACATTTCGGCATGCTGAAACGTTACGATGACTCCAGAGCTTTCTTGAAACAACACAGCCATCTCGTGTGCGAGAACACGGCCAACTACCTTGTTATATGGTGTATCAATCTTGAAATGGAAGATGTAAATGTTAATTTGTTTGTTCGAATGTGAAAAATAATCGTTCCTTTTGTTCTAGAAACACGAACTGATGCAGCACGTTGCACATCAAACGATTTGTATGCAGTACATCTTAGAACTGGCGAAACAACTGGATTACGACCCTAGGGCCTGCGTTGACGCATTCTTTTCTAAGATACAGGTAGCCGAAGTGGAGTACAAGCAATCGTTTGAAGACGAACTGAACCAGTTCAAGGACAGGATACGTAAGCGAGCTGCAGAGAAGATCGAAGAAGCTATGAAGGTATGTTGACAGTTGACGGCAAGTTGACATTTCCTGACAGCAAATTGACATTTCCTGACAGCGAATTGACATTTCTCGATAATGAATTGACAGTTGGTGATTGTAACCGTGGTTTTGTAGGAGGTGGAAGAGGAAGAGAGGCAGAAGCGGCTCGGTCCGGGCGGCCTCGACCCGGTGGAAGTAATGGAGAGCCTTCCCGAAGAGCTCAGGAGCTGTTTCGAGTCCCAAGACATCAAACTGCTCCAAGAGACCATAGCCAAGATGGACAAGGAGCAGGCCGTGTATCACATGAAGCGCTGCGTCGATTCGGGACTTTGGGTGCCGGAAGGCGGTAAAGACAAACAAGAGGAGTCGGACGGCGCCGGAAAATCAGAGGAAGGCGCAGGTTCTTAATTCTCTTTACTAGTTTGTTGTATGACGTACACTTTTATCAATGCTATTAATTAGTTTGTAGTTTTAATACTTTCTTTCAGTTTATTTGTGCCTCATTGGCACGATTGAGGATGTGTGAGTGAGAGCTTAGTATGTACAGGGTGTTTTGAAGACAGGTGCCATAAATTAGGCGGAAGACGTAAAAAATGAGGTAATTTGGTCCTTCGGATGAAGGACATGTAAGATGTTTTTTTTTAATAAGAGTTTTTTGGAATCTTGTAAATCAATCGTGTGCATCAGCATCAGCATAAAATTATCAGATTGTTTTGTAAAATATAGTAGACCCACGGTTCGACTTGTTTTTTTCTTGTTGACCCTGAATTTGTGTCACCTTTTTCGAAATGCCCTATATATTATATTTGTAGAGAACTGTAACTACCTTTAACATTACTTTAAAGTATTTTAAATGTTTTGTATGTAAAACATGTATTTCTTTATTTAATACCAGTTAAAAATAAATATTTTAAAATTATGCTCATCGTATACCTGATTTTTTTTAACCGAGATAATGAGAAATTAAAAGGTGCTTTGTTCGCGAATAACCGAATGGGGTTTAGTGTACATTTTTGCGTTCTGAATAAATTTTAAAGTACGGTACTGGTGAAATTCGTTTGTCTTATGGTACGGGAACGCGTCAAAAGAGGCGCTGCTGTAACGCGATTTGGCGGGAAGTAGAGAGATCTATAAAAACCCTTCACACTATTGCGCCGAAAGGCGGCGTTTGACTTGAACGCCAAATTTGAAAACTTATCACCATCACCTTCAGTGTTGACAGAGCATCTTCTTCCTCCATTTTTTTTCCTTCACGCAATCATCTACACATAATTTCACTACAAGGTGCCCCTTATGACGTCACAGCCGTTTTGAAATATAAAAAATTCAGTTTTAAATAATTATTTTAAAACTGTTCCGACGCATTTTTCAATCTTTAATTGTGCATACACACTAATTAGTACGTGTAGAATTATATTATCTACTTTTTGAAATTTGATCAACAACCCTATTGAAAGCAGGAAGTATTTATGACCCCAGTAATTTTGGCAATGGTTACTTAATAACCAACCACAGTGGCCAGAATTGTAATTATAGAAAAATTTATGGAAAAATGAATATTTATAATACCTATATCTCACCTCCTCCATTCCAAATTTTCACGATTGTCAAAATTTCCGAATAAAAAATAAAACAAACCCGTTTCACAAAATTAAAATGATGTATGATTGATCTGACTGATGACATAATACATAAATATCGCTTATTTTTTGACGTTTACGCGAAAAAGTTAAAGTTAAATCAACTGTCAGCGCAGTGACCTTGACAACGTCAATTTAAGAAAATTGACCAATCACCATTGAGTACGCAACAAATGTGGCGTTTTCGCGTAATAGTGTGAAAGTACTTTTAGATCATGAAGAAAGCACCGGGCGCATTCTTTTTTACAGCGTAAATTTTTGAGAGAATTCATCAGCTAGTGTTGACACAAGAATTTGAAATACGTCACTTTCTGCTGTGTTATCAACGGACTATTAAAGACAAAATTTAAGAACGGGTTTGTTAGACTTATGGTGGAATTTCTGTTGAGTTCTGAATTCACAACCATATATTTATTCCAAATACAATGTTAATCAAGATATTAATTCGAAAACGTCCCTGTATATGAAACATCATTATATTATTTTAACGTCTAAAGCCTCTTGCTCGTGTTCGTTTTAATTTTGCCTTTGCCTAGAGCACAGAATAATCAGCTTGTTGTCGGTTTTTCATCCACACATCAAAAGATCTTGGCGCAATCCGCCCACAGCATTCACACGTTGGCCTCTTCTTCAGTTCGTAGTTGCCGTTTAAGCGTAAGGAATAGTGTTGCGGCGTAATAATTGTACTTACGAGCTACGACGGCAGTATAAAATAGTGATGAAGTTTTGCAATTTATAGATTTGTACCAAAATGAACCAATTCGCGAATGCAGCTAAGAGCTCGCCCTCTTACGGTGACAAGTGATACTAGCGAAACAAAGTAAACATTTCTTCTGCGTTGTGACATTTCGTTTTGTATTTTATTTAAAACTGTGTTTAGTGTTCATTTTTTGAACACTGTTATTTTAAGAAAATAGTGTGAAGAAAACTTCAGCAATTATGGATAGAAAGAAGAAACTGTCAAACTATTATTGTTCAGTTCAAGGTTGCTCTTCAGAATTAAGTTTTCATCAAACCATTGAGGAAATATTCAAAATATTATTGCAGATAGATAATACTCCGTGAATTTCATGAGGGTTGTTAGTAATTAAGGGCACTAGTTTGCAGACAATATAAATTTCTAAATTTAAATTAACTTTGCCCAATTTTCCCATATAGTACCACATGATCAGCTTTAAAAACTGCCTGTTCTTCTGATATACAACGGGAGTTTTCGTTGACATATATGTAAATAGGAAATGTATTCCACAACGGATAAGTTCATAGCTATAACCTAATAAAATGTACATTAAATTGTAATGCTAGAGACAAATAAAGTAAACATAAATACTTGCCGTAAAATTTATTTATGAAATATTTAGAACCTATAATATAACACAAAAGTCAAATAACCGCAGTTCGATAACAAAATTACTAATAATAATGGCAAATAAGACAAATGTTCAAATGAATGTGTAAAACACGAACAGCAATGTCAAAATTACCTTGTCTCGGAGCTTCAGTTCAGTGCGAACAGCCGAGCTGAGCGGACGTGCTTGTTTGTGAGGTGAAGTGATTGCAACGAGCAAAATCTACCTGNAGCTACGACGGCAGTATAAAATAGTGATGAAGTTTTGCAATTTATAGATTTGTACCAAATTGAACCAATTCGCGAATGCAGCTAAGAGCTCGCCCTCTGACGGTGACAAGTGATACTAGCGAAACAACGTAAACATTTCTTCTGCGTTGTGACATTTCGTTTTGTATTTTATTTAAAACTGTGTTTAGTGTTCATTTTTTGAAAACCGTTATTTTAAGAAAATAGTGTGAAGAAAACTTCAGCAATTATGGATAGAAAGAAGAAACTGTCAAACTATTATTGTTCAGTTCAAGGTTGCTCTTCAGAATTAAGTTTTCATCAAACCATTGAGGAAATATTCAAAATATTAATGCCGATAGATAATACTCTGTGAATTTCATGAGGGTTGTTAGTAAGGGCACTAGTTTGCAGACAATATAAATTTCTAAATTTAAATTAACTTTGCCCAATTTTCTCATATAGCTCATGATCAGCTTTAAAATCTGCCTGTCCTTCTGATATACAACGGGAGTTTTCGTTGGCATATATGTAAATAGGAAATGTATTCCACAACGGATAAGTTCATAGCTATAACCTAATAAAATGTACATTAAATTGTAATGCTACTAGACAAATAAAGTAAACATAAATACTTGCCTTAAAATTTATTTATGAAATATTTAGAACCTATAATATAACACAAAAGTCAAATAACCGCAGTTCGATAACAAAATTACTAATAATAATGGCAAATAAGACAAATGTTCAAATGAATGTGTAAAACACGAACAGCAATGTCAAAATTACCTTGTCTCGGAGCTTACTGCTTTCGCCGCTTGGAGCGCTTGCATCTTAAAAATTATCGCGGATAATCTACATCCATGCTCGTTAAATGGCCAGTGCAGAATGAGCAACGCCAACGTGTAAACAGTGTCCTCATTTTTGCCCCAACTCATTGGCCCAACTAGTTGGCCAAACGTGTACAGGAGCCTTAATAGATATGATATGCTTACACCATAGACCTTATAAACTTGGTCTATGGTTCACACTCACGGCCATGTTATGACGTCACGTGGAGATCAAATAACGATTTGTGATATCGTATCCATGTGGAAGTGAAGAACTAACTTATCTTTATAGTTTGGTTTTCGCGTCGTGTATGTTTTAAAGTGTTGCAAATCTCATGTTTATATTGTGTTTGTGATTGATCTTTATCAAATTTTTTATACCTGTGGTGATTATTAACATTACTTACTGTCTATTAAAAATGACTCCCTGAAATATATTGTTCCATTTTTTGTTGTACAACCGGCAACCAAAGCAAATTATTTAATAAAGACATCATGTTTTCTGTTTTACATATAACAAAAATCTTTTAAAAATATGGGTTGAAGCTTGCAGACTTAAATATATATTTAATACCAAAAATAATTCTGTTCAAACTATATTCGTAATTAGCAACAAATGTTACTAAATGAAAAAAAAATTGGACCCACCCAACGATTAATAAAAGTCGTACAGTAAATTACTGTGAAACAATGTTAGCAGTAGCTTTATTTTTGCGAAATCGGGGAGAAACGAAACACGTCCTTTTATAAATATTTTATGTACAAATGAAGTCTAACAAATCATTTCCATTACACAATAAATAAATATATCTGACATGAACCTTCCAACACAAATAAAATATCAATATCTTTTGAGCAAGACTTGTTTAAAAATATTTCTACAATGTACATCGTAAAAACCAGTTCTGATTTATTTTAAAACTCTCCAAACCATAACGAATCATCTCCAGATCAAGAACGTACAAAAATTTACAAAAAATCTTACAAATTATACACATTGGGCTAGAAAATAAATAAATATCAGTTGGATTCATTAATATCACTCGGTTTCGAAACTTCCGATTGCACTATCACTCGCGGCGCCTCCTCGGTCGAGGCGTCCTCTTCCTCCGTCTCCACCTTCAGTTCTTCCAGTTGATTCGGCAAAGTCTCTGGCTCTATCAGTTCGTTTGAGACCGGGTCGTCTTTGCCGTCGTACAGTTCCGTTTCTGCAAAGAAAATTGGCATTTAACAATAAAACAAATTTGTTACTTCCGTGAACAAATAAAACTATGCGGTAAACCTCAGAGGCTCGCATTTCGTTGAGCGCATGTTTAGTGCCTTCAACATATCCTTTATCTTTTCAAATCAATTTTTTTATTGACAATATGATGCAACAGTATTAAAATATCGTGTTTGTGAAAAGGAGTTGCTATCGGTGTAAAAGTCATATTGAATGTAAAATTAATGAAAGAAATCAACTTTTAACAGCTGCCTTCCTGGGTATTTTTATTGTATGATGCAATTTCTATGTCGAGTCTGTGTAACATTCGGATGTAGGTGGCCAATGTAAACAATTTCGCAGAAATACATATTGAATAATAAATGAATAAACGAAATCGAATCTTACAGCTGCCTTTGTGGGTATTTTTAATATATGACCCAATTTTTATGTTGAACGTGTGTAACATTCGATTTATGTAAACAATGGTAGACAAGTCCGATTATTTTTAAAGAAATATGTATCTCAGTGATCATTACTCGAAGTCGTCGATTGAGAAGAAATTGAGAGTAACATACGGTCAGACGTAAGTGGTAAAAAAATTATGGACAGAACTTATTCTTATTTCTTTTAATCCCCTAAATAGGCATCTAACCTTATTTTTGTCATGTCACTGATTTGACTGCCAATTTTTTCTCTAAAAGTAGGGCCGAAACGAAGATATTCCCGAAAATTGGAGCTCGAGACGACTAAATCCGGCCACCAGCCACTGTGGAAATTTTGATTTTTTAGTCATTTTCGGAAATTTATATCTAGCTCTATACAGGGTGATTAACAACTTATCCAAAAAAATTTGGGAATAGATGCGGCACGAGAAATGGAGTCAATATTGTAAAAAAAGATTTTGTAAAATCCTTATAGTTACCGAGAAAAAAAATTATTGAAGTTGTACTACCTTCAAGCATTACATCGCTGGATAACTGTAGTCTCCAGCATCATTCACAATATGGGTGAAGAGTCACGTGGCCTCAGCGACTCCCAATACAATCGTCGTAGCGGTAGTGTTTACAATAGTTTTTTAGTATCTAGTTTGTGTCAAAAATGGCTTGCGTGTATAGCAACTCAGAGTTGATGGATATCGTTTTAATTTATGGTGAAGCAAGACAGCTAGCATCTGTATTATGGTGAAACGTTTGTGTTATAGTGAAGCAGGACTACATTTGTGTTAGCTCCTAGAACCCTGTATAACTTAAAGACCTGAACCAAATGACATTCTTACTACTCACCTCGTATTTTGGAAGAAAAAATAAAATTTTGTTTTGAACTTAAATCCATTGTTTGGCCTTCTACTTCAAAAACTACTGATCTAGGAATATTTTAAAAATAGTGATTCAGTTAAAACGTCCAGCCAATCCGAATTTAAGTTTGAAACAAAATTATTTTTTTTTTCCAAAATACGAGGTGAGTAGAGAAGAATGCCGTTTGGTTCAAGTCTGTAACGTATATAGAACCAAAGATATAAAATTCTGAAAGTGAAAATCGCCTTTTTTTAAATTTCAAAAAATTTCACTGTGGCCAGATTTGGTCGTATCGAGCTCAAATTTTCAGGATCACCTTCTCCGATCTACTTTCAGAGAAAATATCGGCAGCCAAATCGCTGACCCACACAGTCGAAAAGTAATGGATCTTTTTTTTGACGTAAGGCACGAATGCTTGAGATGTGGGCCAAAATAAGGTTAGATTCGTATTTAGCAGGTCAAAATACATAAGAATAAGCTTTGTCCTACATTTTTTTACCACCTCTGCGATTTTTAACCACAACAACTTAATTTTCATGACTTTCTCGAAGTTTTCTGGCCCTACCGGTCGCCATATTGTTTTTTTTTAAATGATCACAGCTTAATAAAATTTAGACAAGTATAGTTACCAAATGAGCCCAAAACGAAGTTTTTAGGTTGCTTCAATTTTTGGACAGAAAGGGCAGCCGTTTCTACAAAGAATGCTACACATGCAAATAATAATGTAAGTAATAACGATGTAGATAATAAAAAAATGTTTAAAACTATTTGCTAATCATCAGGTTAGTTTTTTGCTTCTACCTAGTATCAAATCTATCAAAATTTGAAATATTTTTTAAAATCATTCCAAATTTTTATTCAAAATATTTGTTACTACTTTCTTTAAAGCACTGTGTTTAGTTTGTGAATCTTTGTCGTTGACCTCTGAATATCGACTACATAATAACAATCCACCCGAAGTGATATGAAAACAGAACGTTAGACATACACAATACAAACGACGTATAAGTGTGTAACTTTATAAAGTAATTTATTTCAGTGTTTAGTGTCCGTATATTGTTAAATTTCCGTGTGATATTTAAAAACATATGTATATGATTCAAGAGAGATCGGTTTTAACTTTCATGCTGTGGCTACGAAATTGGATCGCACGGCAGTTTGAGGTTATGTTACCGCGTCCAGCAGCGAGGTATGAAAATTCCGAAAACAAGGTAAAAAATAATTCAATTCATGAGAAAATTCCCGCATAGTAGGTATAAACAAAAGAATATTGAAATGTAATAAATTTAAGTGTACTTACTAATAAAATCATTCTGTTCCTCCTTGGGCACCTGCACAGGCAAAACCGCATATCCGTAATCCTGCCCCGGCTCAGTTTTAACACTGACTTCCTCCTCACCGGCCACCGCCTCGATCCCCACGCACTCCGGCCCAACATCACGCGTCTTATTCTGCGGAATATGGAACTCCTCGATTTTCGTATCGTAATCCTCGGCTCCGTCGTCGGAAATCACGCCGGAAGCCTTCAAAATGTCCGCCAACACCGACGATTTACCGTTTTCCCTGCTAACCCTATCCACGGCCTCGCCGCCGTTCTCCAGAATTGCGGGGCAAGCGTCCTCACTCACCCCGACCTGAACTTTGGCGGTCGCGATTGCTTGGGAATTAGAATTGCTTTTAGAGAATGGCTGAGAAGCTCCGACCGTGTTCATTATGTAAAGAGGAGAAGACGATGCCGACATGGTCTTCCCCACTATCTTCCCGCCCAACGGTAACACCTTGATGCTACCCTTCGAATTCAACACCTGCAGCTGCGAAAAAGGGATCACTTTTTTCGTGGTGGGATTGGTTTTCACCGTAACAACTTTGTGCTTCACGGAATTCACCCCGGAATTGGTGGTGTTAGCGACTTGGATGTTCGTCGGGACCGAATTGCTGGTGACGATCTTGAACTTCTCAAAATTCTTGATGGAGACGTTTTTCACAAACGGTATCTGTAACGTCCTCTGCAGGATGCTGTTAGTCGGGATGGTCTGGGCATTGGAAACCACGATCAACTTCTGCCCCGAGTTGACGGTTTTCGTGACGGGTTTCTTGGCGGAGCACATCTTTATAGACTTTTGCATTTCGGTGCTCGGTCCGGGAGGCTGAGCCGACGTTTGCTTGATCGTGATGTTGGTGTTCGGCTTTATATTCGTGATCAGCTTGGGTCGCGGGGCTTGATTCTCGTTCGCGCACACCGGTATGTTGGGAACTTGTTCTGGCAGCTTTATGTTAGCGTTCACCTCCTCCTGGTCTAGAGGTTCCTCCTTGGGGGATTGCAGGCTGATGTTTTGGAGTACGTTCACTTTCTGGCTGATCAGAGGTTGTTGCGGAAGCGGGCAGATCGTGGTTTGATGTTGGACAGGTTGGGGGACCTGTTGCATGACCCGGTGCTGCTGTTGGATCAGTTCCAGCTGATCTTGGTCCGGTTTCTTGTGCAGGTCCTTCGTTTTTGTCTTCGACGACCGCTGTCTGAAATAAATTTTATTACAGAAACGCACAGTTAAAAAAATAGCTTCTTGTGTTAACAGACACTTTAATATGACGTGTTTTCAGTGTTTAGTGACAGTACGGTGTGTTTGTGTGTCTTCATTTTTAAATTCCAATAAAGACAGATGAGATTTGAAAACAATGCACGTTTATGTTCCAATTGGATCTACATACAAGGTTGTTTGAACATACACTAGCCTATTTAGCGGTGAGATATGAAAATGATGGAAAAAAAAGGTTAAAAAAATCAATTTTCATAAAGGAATTTAGAAAAACAAACTGCGACCCATTCAAAGTTATACCCTGCATTTTTAAAGAAAGAAGTTTCAAGTCTAGATATAAACCAATTAGAGTATTACATTAGTTTAGTTTTGCAAAATTTGCCATAAATTTATGGATAAAAAAAGACAAATAAAATGACGATTATTCCGGTATTCCGACGATACTCTCCAAAAAAATCCCTTTTTTACTTTGTTGTAGGCTTTATTATTCTATTTTCAACCTTTAATTCACACATTAAAACCTTTAGGGTTAAAGCCAAGCAGCAGTTACACGAAAACAGGCAAAAACGAACTTTTAATTTATTTTGTTCAAAAATCTTTCATATAAAAACAAAATTAACTTTATATTTACCAACTTTAGAATAACAAAGAGATTCGCTGCAAGTTCCCCTTCAGAAAGGATTTTTGATAAAGTTGTTAGGGCTTAAAGTAAAAAAACACCTACCTGTATAGCTGCTGTATTCTACAAACTTTTGGGGCCAAAAGGTGCTGCGCTAAACTACTGTTCTCCGGACAGAGCTTCCTCTTTTTACTGTCCTCCACCTTAGGCGGATCTGGAATTCGAAAAGATGAAGTTTTACTAGTTTCGGGCATCACACCGGTTAACTGTGCGACAGTTTGTCTTTTTCTCTCAGTATTTGAAGGTGACGGTAACTGTTTATTACTTTGGGATGCAACCTCGGCGGTCTCGTCAGCCAGCGCCGAGAAAGCAGTCTGTGGGGCAGTTCTAGGTAGGAGGGGTACTAGACGGCGGCCCTCTTGCGCCCAATCCTCCAGGGATTCGGTGTGACCGGTTACACTAAAAACTTACTAGTTAGTCCTAAGCTAAATGGTTGTCAATGAATTGGTTACTGATATGCAATTGTGTTTAACTTTTCATCACTGATGGCTCTCCTAACTTCTGCCTTGTGCCTTTCCTGAGTTATGTTCAAGGCGATGCCCGTTTCCTTCAGCAGTTTTCGCTTATCTGAGTTCAACGGCCCCTGTGCCCTTAGGGCGGAGACAAGGTGAGAGTAAGCCTCCAATTCTAAAAAGGGGACATTACTTTAAATGAAACACCAAGAGGTAAGTCGAACATACCCAGGTTTCTGAGATTTTGGACGGATTCTTCTTTTGTCATATCCAGAAGTAGGGGCCACATCTTAGTAATTTCAGATTTCAAAAAACCATATTTACCATGAAGATATCAAATGTTTTATTGAAATGACAGCGTCTTATTTTTTGAGGTTACGTTCACTTCGGAGCCAAACAGCAGCGATTAGTTTGATATGGTTCTCATAAATAAATCGACTTTAAACTTAACTGAATTTGTGGGCAGTTATGTTTCCACACAATTAATCATAATTAGCTAGAAAAATTGTGTAGCAATTAATATTCAATAAAAAATGAAAGGTTTGACAACCTGGCTTGACGGCGCCAACTAATTATTTGAATCGGAAAAAGGCTGCCAATAACAATGAACCAAATAAACTAAAGGTGGTTCTTGAAAAACCCTATCTTTATACAAAAGCGTGTGTATTATCCATTCACGCAACGTGGAGTAAATTTTGTTTGGAGTGAATAAATAGTAACTATACAAGGTATATAATGTGTAATTTCCGTATTCACATATGTATGAATTGTGTTTAAAAGGTCCGTTTAATATCTAGAATCTAAACAGTCTGAACGTGAAAGTAACTTTAATTATCGTGTTAAGTTTTATATCGTAATGTGCATGCGTTTGATTGTTGGGAACTATTTGGGATTGCTCTAGGAACAAAGCTATTGTCAAATTTGTTGTCAACTATCGAATCGAGATGAAAAGATGTTTTTACTTGTCAGATAACTAAAAACAAATTTTAAAAATATTGCTGTCTAAAATTGTAGTATAAATTTAACCAAGTGCAAAATTAATTTCCAACATTATATATTAAATGTTAGTAAAACTTTGGCATCTCTTTGAAAGATGGCGCTCCTACATCTTAACCTTCATTTTTAAAATTATTGTTTTGAAAAAGAAAAACTGTAAAATAAAAAGTTCTGGTACAAACTAGCCCAAAAAATGTTTTTAATCAAATTTTTCAATGTATGTCCTGATTTTATTTCAATATTTTTCAGTAATTACATAATATATTGAAGTATTTTATCAATTTCTAGGGACTTTAGGTGGAGCCAGCGCCATCTGATTGTTAGTAGAGCTAGTTCTTTGTACTTACAGTGATACTGATGCAGAGAAATCTGCATAGCTCTTTGATTTCTAATGTTAACGAGTGTTATCACCGTTTCTCCACAAGAAATAATTGGAAATCTATAAATTAATCAATAACTTTTATTTTAAAAATAATAGAACGATAATAAATGCTAGATGAATATAATATACATATATTAATTTTAATAGAACCTATACAGTAACATAAATACAAAACTTATTAACTAAAATTTAACAAATCATAGCACGTTAATCAGTATGCTGAATATTTTTTTTGTTGAATCACATTCCAGTATAATAAATTTGAAATAAATTCAAAGCAAGGCTGATATATCCCAGACTTTTATCAAACGGTCCTGCCCTACAGTCACAAGCCTCTTACCAGTCTCGTCTAAACTCATCGCTACAACACTGTGCTTAGCATCGTGGAAAGTCGCTAAAGAAGGTCTCCTAAAAACAAATTTCCAAGAATAACACAACAAAAACTGAAAACAACGCTTACTCTTTGTCTTTTAACGCCTGGTGGCACGGCTCGCAAACCCTAACGGCAAACTCGAAACCCATGGTCGGAATCGTAATCCTCCCCGTCGAACAACGTTCGCAAATAGCCTTGCCGCAGTGGCGGCAATGGTGCTGCCGCAATCCTAGCTGTCTTTGGTCCATCATGGCCCGGAGATTCCAGAAGAACGGTCGGCCGCAGAGTTGGCACAGGTCCGACTCCACCCACTCGGGCGTTTCCTGTCGTGGGTGGCTCATGTCCCAGAAAACGATGACGCCGTCCTCTCCCGCACTTACCAATTGTTTGGTGCTGTTTAAATAGTGGAGAGCGGACACCTACGACCAAAAAAGAAAACGAATTGCCAAACAAAAAAGTTAGCTTTCCGAAAACAACAAGACTTTTTTCCCGATGACGAAAAACACAATGCGATGTTTGTTTTTGCAGATTCTACTTTCCACAGCATTGAATATTATTTAAATTTAAATCATTTAGAATTAAATAAAGGGTTCAAACATTTTTCAAAAATTTCATAATAGAAAAATTACTTAATAAACGTTTTTCGAGGTCAATTTTTCAAATTGTAAGTAATTGGGTACTATTTTTATTAATGATTAATATTTTATTACAACACATCATAATCACAAACTAACCTACAAGTAATTGATATACAGTGAATGTAAACAAAATGCCCAGACCGCAGAACGAATTTACAAAACTGGTTTTACATTTTGCCAAGCACGAAATGCTGCAAGATTTGTAACACTCCCCATATTTATTTATTTTCCCTTTTTTGCATTATATGATTTAATATAAGAAGACAGAATTATCTTTCAACGATGTTTTCCAAGCATTCTAATCTGACAGTACAAATAAAAACCACAGTACCTTATTATGGTGTCCCTGCAACTCGTAAGCATTCCCTTGCTGCCCACCGATGTCCCACACGATGACGGTGTGGTCAAACGAGCCGCTAAAAAGCATTTGTCTCTCGCTATCCCAGGCTAACGAACGTATCGATCCCGAATGTCCCTTCAGAGTCGTAATAACGGTCGGACCATTATTGCCTAACTTCAACATCGTGATTTGACCCGAATAATCGCCCACAAAGGCATGTTTGGTTTGTGCATCGAATCTAGGATAACATTAAGAAAAACGCCAAAGATAAATCACGATTTGTCCGAATCACTTAGAACACCCCGTATATTAGTCAATTTAATTAGGTTGTGTTTAATAACTTATATAAACACTTTTCATTTGCCAAATAAATAATGTAAATAATGATGTCACATTACCCATTTGTAAACAAGGCCATATCCATAATGGCAAACAAATCATTTAAATACTTTATTGACAAGCAAAGCAATATGCAATAGTGGTCTCAACTGCTTTGTTTGCATTTTGTAAATGTTATTGTTATTACTTACCGTTACAAGAATAAAATTTTACAAACCATTATTAAAAACTCAAATATTTTTAAAAAGGATACTGTAGAGACGTACACCAAGCTTCAGCGTTATAAGTACCGAGATTTCGGCCAGTTTGGGTGCAATTATAAGAGAATACTTTGTCCCTACTAACGCTCAGCACCCATTCGCAGTTTATGGCAAATATAATTTCTGTGACGCGGGCCTGGTGCGCCAGGTACTCCCTTATAGGCATCATCCTATTAAAGTCTGACGCTAAAGAGAACTCGGACACCGTTCCATTCTCCTGACCGATAAACAGTTGCCTTGTCTCGACTGTGTAATATACAGAAGTAGTACCACTTGGCATGTACTGACAAATACTTGGCCAGTATTGGCCGGAGTCGCGCTTCAACCATACCCGCACAGTCCTGAAAATTTCCAGTTAGAAAGTGAATCACTGCAAATTTTAATACTTGCTTATCATCTGAAACGCTTATAATTCCTTCTTCGCCTGGTATAAGGACTGCCGCATTTATTTCATCACTACACCCGTCTAATTTTGAGAGCAAAACGGGTTTTTTCGTCGTACAAAACCGTTCATTTGATTGAGTCGCTGGTTTTATTTCCGCTGCCATTTTTTTCTGTTTTCTACTTTTGATTTGGCGATTTGACAGATATTCGTAGTTGGTTGTCGGCTTCGCTTGACGTTTTACCGCAGTGCCACCAACAGCAGCGAAAAAAATGCTCTTTCACATTATCCGTTTTTTTAACGGACCGGTGAAATTATCGGATACTGTAAAAACAAATTTGAGCATTCACACTTATCGGCGTCCGTAAAAAAAATGGTGCGGTACCAGTGCATCAACGAATGGGTTTCTACTTAATTGTCCGTCACCGGATTGTTTATTAAAAACACATGAAGGCTAATGGATTTGTTCACAATCAAACTTGTCCGTCTTTCTTACTTTATTCCGATAGGAAATTTATATGCAATTTGCTACAGTCGTTCAGTTCAGTTTTGTTCCTGTCAGTACAAATGTACTAAAATCAGTATAATTACTATTTTGCAGTACATCAGTACAATGATAGCGATTTTATATTAGATATTAAAAAGTTATAGTTCTTATTGTGTTTCTTTTTACATAGGAATCTGACGACTACTTACTACAATACTGTTCAACTAGATCTAAACTAATTTACCGAAACGTATGAATGGTTATACGTTGCGCGACCGGTAATTTCACTGGTCCGTCAGTTTACCGGTCCGTTAAAAAACCGTACGTTAAAAATTTCTCTTTTAAAACATAAGATGTGTTAAGACACATCTGTCAATTTATATTTCATCAATATTCACTCAAATATGTATTTAATATTCAGTTTGACTGCAAACTGAACTAGTGCCATTACTACGAAAAGAAAGTAGCCACTCTTACTGACACAATAGTTCTTTCAAAACACTTCATCTTCTTCTACATAGGACAAAATAAAATAAAGTTTAAAATACAGCGGTAAAAGTAATTTAGAACTTACCAGCATATTTTGCAGTTTAATATATAGCACAAAAGTATATATTACGATAATTCTCATATTAATCTATTAATTGAGGACTTGGATTTATATGACTCAGTTATTTTTTTAAAATAAACTATAAAAAAAATTGGCAAAGACGCAAATTACTAGGAGTAGGAACTTTTGATTTTGTGATGATAACCATAAAAATTTGACTTGGTTTTGGTTGTAATTTTTGGGTTTGTAAATAGCACAAGAAGAAAATTTATACAAGAAAAATGGATTTGTTAGGATCTATAATGAATTCAATGGATAAACCTCCTACACCAACAGAAAAAGAAAAGTTGTTGATAAAAAGTAAGTTGAATGTATTTTCGGAAACTTTATGAATCATTTGTTGTTGTCCAGAAAGAAAACAAGAAATAGAAAAGCGTCAGAACGAGGAGAAAGAAAAACTAAAACGGTTCAAGGAAAGAGTGGAGGCCAAACTTAAGTCGCATTTCAAGGACCCAAAAAATGTGATGTTAAAATTCGAACCCATGGATCAAATTTGCAGGAGTATTGTGTAAGTTGAATCATTAAAACGGTAAGCAGTCGAGGCATACTTCTAATTTTCTAGACACGAAGCAGCGGAATCGAATGGATTACTTTCATATGCGTTTGGTTGTGACGGTGTGGATAGGTACGTAAGAGTATACAATAAAAGTAACCCTCCCTGCGAAGATGAACTGGCTGCAAGAAGGAGAGGTGAACCGTGGAACGAACAAGTAAAGCAGCAGTTACTCGAGAAGGTACTTATTCAATCGGCAATTGCATTTAAACTCGTTATATAATAACTTTTTATCATAGAGGCAACAGGAAAAGCAAGAACAGGTGGAAACCGGTCGGAAGAAAAATAAAAAATTTACTCCGAACTCGAACTACAAGGATAAATATGCACATTTAATAGGACAAGATGCAGCGTTGGACGCGGCTAAAAAGACAGAGACCAATAAATCGTACGGGTTTGGTGAGTAATTTGTTGAATGTGTGCGGAAATTGTTTGGGCAATGCAATACTTTTCAGTTCCTAGCGAGAACAAGAAGGACATACGATCGATCGAGCAAACCATGGCGGATATCAGGGCCAAGAAAAGGCAGAAGCTGAGTAACGACAGTAACGTTCCTACAATCTGACAATATTTATTTAACTAGCGACTCTATTGGATATTGTAACGTGTGTTAAGTATTATGTATATATATTTATTAGGTTAACAATAATTTTAAATTTACTGAGCCCGCGAATTCTTTGTTTTGAAGGATTTGGTAACTGTTAAAATAAACTATATTTGAATGAACGGTTGGGTATTTATTTTTCGTAATTTCCAAATAATCTTCAAATTTCAATTTTTTTTGCAATTTTTATTAGCTAATACAAGGCGACATGGAAAACTGAGCACTGTAACAAAATATTTAATGGTACATTCTATAATCGACTCGTATTTTACAAAAACTCTGAGGAATACTTCGTTTTGGTGCTTCGGACTGCGGGAGAGACCCCCCTTGTTATGGCAGAGTATTCTTTCCGAAGTTTCGCAAGACTGGGACACTCGTACCCCACGGCGTCCTTGTATTTCTTCTGCGACACGTTTATAACTGTGTCGAGCAGGAAATCCGCATTTCTGACAACAAACTGCCTATGCTGAAAATAAATTTACACTTTATAGTCCAGGCGGTATCTGTTGTAAAAAGGGTATACTTGGGTAAAACGCATATGATCGGAGATTTTTGCTTTAACGGCTTCTAAATAACATCAGAAATGATCATTTTTCTATGTAAATAAAAAAAAAAACGTGAGCTTAATTGTTATTGCAAAAAAGTATAAAAAATTACAAAAAAATTAATTTTTTTTCTTGGATTTCTCGTCGATAACTTAGCAATTCATTTTAGACAAAAGTGGAAGAGGAAAAAAGTTTTGTAATTAAATTTTGATCAAGATATAGTTAGTTGCAATTCGAAAAAATATTTATTGTTAATGCAAAAATCGGAAAAATCATTTAAAAAATTGCAAAAAATGCTAGTTTATTTGTCAATTTTTTTCAGACACTTGAATAATACCTAGGATCTTCATACTTTTCCCAATTAAACTTCTTAGTGCATAGAATCATCACACCAAATTTCATCCAATTCGGTTCGATAGTTTTTACATAATAATTGTTTAATTTTTTTTTTTTTTTTAAATTAAAAAATTTTCAAAATCAAATTTCTAAAAATCTAAAGCCTTTGAATACTCGAAAATTTCACCACAAAAAGAAGAGCTCTCAAGCTTTAAAATGGTTTTTGAAAAATTCAAATTGGACGATTAGGTGAGCCGTGGTGATTGTTTAAACATATGCGCAATTTTCACGCTTATAAACAATTGCAATAATTAAATGTTTTTTCAAAATTTTTTTTATTTTAAAATATGGTTTGAAAGTACTCGGAAAGTACGAGTATTTAAAAAAAAAAACTGATGATCCGCCCATTACTTTCGGAGTTATAGCCCGTTAAAGTTAACCCTTATTTACAGTAAAACTATAAGGGCTGTTTTTTGAACTAATAGGTTTGTCACTCCGAGTACTTTCCAAATATAAATTTTCAAAATTTGCAATCACGGGCATCCCATTTAAAACGTCACTCAAAGATATTCAAGACCGCGTGAAATCAATGAGGTATCAGTGGTGGGGGGAGCAAACACAGCTACTCTGATCTGAATTCTCGAGTTCAAAACTGCGACGCTCGAAAAAATTTCACTTATCTCAGCTTCAAATGGACCAATTTCGATGATTTTTTTTTAAATCGATGTCTCGCAACTTAAAACATTCAATTATCATATTTTCAACTACCTTTTATTATTAATTATTGGACTTTTGACATGCCGATAAACAGTTACTTTAAAAAATGATTAATTTATTATGTTTATTTATTTACTATGTTAATATTCACGACCAAAATTTTTGCATGTTGCACCAGGTAATACTAGTAAGTTTGTTTAAATATTATAAAATTGTTTAAACAATAATTATTTAAATAAACAACTGAAAATTGGTATTAATTTTTAGTTGTACGATAAATTTCTAAAAATCTTTAAAAAAAAATAAATTGTGAATAATTACAAATTTAATTTTTTCGTGTACTTTTAAAATATTTATCTATAATTTATTTTTTATTTATATAAAAAAGTATAAGAATCTTTTGGATACTTCAATAAACAGTACACTTTTCATGATTTTTCAAATTTTAACTATTTATGGATTTCAATTTTTATTTAAATTTAATCTAATCTAATTCTTTTACAAGTTGGTGATTTTTCACATGCCTCATCAGTATTATCACAATCTATTTCGTCGTCCTGCAACTGCAAAATATCATTTTCTAACGACTGAAATCTGATTGTCGAGTTCACTTGCACTTTCTTTTGACGTCTTCTTCAAAATCGATTTCGAACTCGTCTACACCGTTTACACATTTGCCCTTGGCAATGGGTGCAATACTCAGAGCATTTCTGAACTCGAGAATTCAGATCGGAGTAGCTGTGTGTTTGCTCCCCCCCACCACTGATATTTCATAAAAAACAGCCCTTATACCCTTATAGTTTTGCAGTAAATAAGGGTTAACTTTAATGGACTATAACTCCGAAAATAATGGGCGGATCATCAGGTTTTTTTTTAAATACTCGTCTTTCCGAGTACTTTCAAACCATATTTTAAAATAAAAAAAAAATTTGAAAAAAACATTAAATTATTGCAATTGTTTATAAGCGTGAAAATTGCGAAAATGCTTAAACAATCACCACGGCTCATCTAATTGTCCGATTTGAATTTTTCAAAAACCGTTTTAAAGCTTGAGAGCTCTTCTTTTTGTGGTGAAATTTTCAAGTATTCAAAGGCTTCAGATTTTTAGAAATTTGATTTTTTAATTAAAAAAAAAAAATTAAACAATTTAGGTATTATGTAAAAACTATCGAACCGAATTGGATGAAATTTGGTGTCATGATTCTATGCACTAAGAAGTTTAATTGGAAGTATGAAAATCCTATATAGGTATTATTCAAATGTCCTCAATGTGTTCAAAATGTGTTCAAATGTCCTTAATGTGTTCAAATCCTTTATAGGTATTATTCAAATGTCTGAAAAAAATTGACAAATAAACTAGCCTTTTTTGCAATTTTTTAAATGATTTTTCCGATTTTTGCATTGACAATAATTATTTTTTCGAATTACAACTAACTCTATCTTGATCAAAATTTAATTACAAAACTTTTTTCCTCTTCCATTTTTGTCTAAAATGAATAGTTGCTAAGTTATCGACGAGAAATCCAAGAAAACAATGTTTTTTTTTGCAATTTTTATATACTTTTTTGCAATAACAATTAAGCCCACGTTTTTTTCTATTTGCATAGAAAAATTATCACTCCGATTATATGCGTTTTACCCAACACGAAACAGATACTGCCTGGACTATTACCACAAAACCAAAATAAACTATAAACGCTTACGTCTTGGTTCAACTCGTTTCTAAGCGAATTCTCGGTATGCCTGATCTGCGCTTCAAACACGTTGTACAACGTTTCGTCGATGGTGAATATCAATTCCGTAGTTTTCAACCGCATGCAGTCCTCCAACAACGTCAAGAACATCTTTGTGAAAGATAAAGTGCTTGCCGTAAGCTGTATCCAGGTATCACCTAAAACGTTTCGGTTATTTGGGGCGTCACTAAACGGTCCTTCGCTTACCGGTGATGTAAGAACTCAGCTCCAGGCCCATGTTAGAGTGTTCCTGGAGGCACCTCGCCACGGCCGATTTTGAGTGCAAATTCATGGGAATCCATTTGTCGTCGAGCGATCTCAGTTTAATAGAATCTATAAGCTTATCTCTGGCTTCTCTTAGGCCTCGGGTTAGAGGGGATCTTAGAGCGCCGTCTAACTGGTAGCATAAATCAACTCCGTACGTGCATAACTGAAGAATTAGTATAATTTATATTGAGATACAACAGGTTTTATATTTACCATCTTTTTACCCATGTAATACCGGGTGTTTCAGAATTGAAGTGACAAAAGCATAGGGGAGATTCCGCTCAGCAAAATATGTAAAAAAGTTCATATGAACATGGGTCCGCAAGTGCTTCGTTTCCGAGACATAGGGTGTTAATTTAAAAAAAAAATTGAGTTTTTAAAAAAACGCTTTAGCCAATTTAAATGAAATTTTTAAGGTGTATTAAAACTATTTTCAAACATCAACTGGACCAATTAGATTTGTTCCAGAATTTTCAGGGGTGTATCCTGCGAGCAAGTCGTTTTTTTTGTAGAAAAGAAAAAATAAAATAAATACGAAGCGAGACACTAAAAAGAGTCGAGAGACACAAATGTACTATTTTCAGTAGATTTATCTGAATATTACATAAAAACCGCAAAAACACTACAGGGTGATATTCTTTTCTACAAAGGGTACGCCCCTGAAAATTCTGGATCAAATCGAATTGGTCCAGTTGATGTATGACAATTGTTTTAATAAACCGTAAAAATTTCATTCAAATCGGCTAAAGCGTTTTTTTTTAAAACTCAATTTTTAGTGACAATAATTTTTTAATAGTACCAATTTTGGTTACATTCTTCAATTTTGACAATTGTTTTTATAGCGAATAGGTTATGTTCACAAAAACAATGGCAGAGGCGACATCTATAGCATTAATTTAAAATCACTCTCATAGGGCAACATTTGAAGACTACACCGCAAAAACGAAAGTCAATTTTTACGGTATAATAAGGAATTAGTACCAAAAAAATGTGTGTAAAAAGTAGAATCGAGTGGCTCAGGCTGCTTGATGTTATCGCTGATAGTCTAAAAGTTATTCACGAAACAAATAATCTGAGACCACTAGAAAAACTCTGAAAGTCGGTGCGAAATACAGCAAAAACTTTGTAGGTGTTTCTGCGCATTGTAAACAGTGCTTCAGGTGCAAAGCTTTCAAAATATTGGACAAAAATACCATTATTAGGGAATTTAATAGCATGTCGAGCAGAACTGGACTCGTATTCATGACTTCAATAGAGAACCGCAGGCCAAAAAAACTGAAAATGAAGCCAAATTTCGCGATTCGCTTTTGTTTCATTACATGGCATTAGTGGACGTCCCCTACAAACAATTCAGGAGTCCCTAACGAAAACTGGTAATGCGCCTAGATGAGGGGTAAATATAAGCACGTACATTGTGGAAAGCCTCCTGCCACATTTGGGGTCGTAAAAGATCATGTTAGCTCATTTAGCGGCAGGCAGAGCCACTACAGTCGATAAAATCTACAGTTGTGTATTTACCAGACAATCTTAACAATAAAAAAACGTACAATATATACAAGGACTTAAATCTTCCTGATGTTTCATATGAGTTTTATCGCAAAGTTTTTAACAATGAGTTCAACATTAAATTTGGACATCCACGCAGCGATGCCTACAGTATTTGTGATAAATATAATGCAGAAAAAACAGCATTGTTGAAGAATGAAGATGACATAAACACGCCAGAAAATGATGCGAAAATACTTCGAGAACTTAAAAAAAAGAAACGCCAAATTTGACGCGAATGTGTTACTTCTTCAAAATTTGTTCGGCCATCTTGGATCCGCCAGCTTGAATTTTGCAAAATTGACCTCGGATCCGTGATCAGCGACCCCGGAAACCCCCGTATACCAAATTTGCCGCGAACGTTATTCGTTGGAAATTTGTTCGGCCATCTTGGATCCGCCATCTTGAATTTTGCAAAATTGACATCGGATCCGTGGTCAGCGACCCCGAAAACCTTCGGACACCAAATTTGGCGCAAGAATTTAGATCAATGGAATTACGTGCTTTTCTTACTAAAACGACGATATGTCGCATGAAAAGTACAATTATTTTTTTTTGTGTGACCATTGACATAAATTTTGTTTTAAAATTTAAATTACCTATATGATTTCCGACTTTAGCTTTAAACTTTAACATTCATTTTCTAGCAAATGAAACAAAAGTGACTTTCATCGATTTTGCCGTATGGTCTTCGTTTGGTTTTGTATTTGATTATTTTTACATTTTCTTGGCAGTATTGTTAAATTATCTTAAAAAAAAATAAGTGTCAATGATAACATAATATAATAATGTTACCATATGCCCAATTTTAAACAAATACAACTATTAAAGGTTTTGAGGGAGATAGTTTTCATAATTCAAACTGTGATATAAAATACTATAAAAAAAAAAAAAAACAATATAAAATGGAATCTCTTAGATGTTTAATTTCCCGAATTATGGTTAGCGGTTTGTTTTATCAATTATTTATATTCTAAAAGTTGGTCCGGCCCGAAGAATGAACAATCTGGCAGATTTAATGTGAAAAAATGTGTGCCTCAAACAAGGCGAATTGTGATTTCCTCTACAGTTTTTACTGGGTCAACAATTGGTAAAGCTAAACGTAGCACAATGTAAGAAATAAATGCAAATATAAAAAAAATTACCCTTTCGCACTGCGTTCTAACCATAACCACGCATTCCGTTATGGTGGAGAGAGACGTTTGGGGCATAAACACCTGCTTAGCGAAGTGAGTGGTGAAGAGCGACAGCTCCCCGCTAGCCCATACAACGTAAGCTGCAAATAAAAAGAAAATGTAGCATTAAACCAAGCTTTAACTAAAAGTGTAACTCAGTGGAATTAATATTACGTTTACGTAAAAGCTGGCATATTCTTACCTGACGCGCAACTAGGGGAATCCGGGAATGCCCTCAGGAACTCATCCGACATATGACACATGTTAGTGAACACCACGCTGGACAAGTGTCTCACGTACATGGTGGTGGAGCCCTCTCTCTTGACCCGCTTACACTGCGTCTTCAACATGCTGCTACACAATTTGAGGAACAAGTCGCAGGACTAGAAAATACACGTTTAAGAAGTGTACGTCTAAGTAATCGTAAAACAAACTTGAGTGGATCGTCCTAGTTGGTTGAGAAGTCGTACGGCTCTCCTAGCGGCTCTCAGACCGCCTTGCAAGGATTTATCAGGGTTTACTTCCAGCTCCTTCATCAGGACTTCCGTCAAGTTGTTTTGCCTCTGTTCAACCTAACGGATAAAAAGTTATACGCTAAGTTACTTGCATTTTTACATTTTCGTTACTTTGCGTTGGATGTCGATCACAACTTGATCCGGTTGAGTGTTTGTAGCAACGAATTGGCTGATGTAGTCCTTGGCTTTCTGTAGAAACGTAAGGGCGTCTTCGAAATGTCTCTGAGCTACGCAAACATCCAATTCTTCCGGAATGTCCATGAACCATTCGGGATGTATCGTCCCTGAATCCTCTTCCGCATCATCGAAAGCTAAAATAAATTTGATATATCTATCTTGTGGGACGAATGTTCGGAAAATATTTGTTACGATTTAGACTTGGAGATTCCATAGACAACGAACGAGAGGGGGACTTTTCCACGATAGACTCCCTCTTTTGCTGCTCCTGCGCCAATCTTGTCTTTTTAGCTTGGTCAAACTTGTCCAACCATTCTTTCTACAATGTAGTATTGACGGAATATATAAATTTTTTATTTACTGGAATTACCTTGTTTGAATTCGACGAACATTGAAAAACTCGAGTGTCCGGGAATATCAGAAGTTTGAAGGCATGTTTTACATTCCCCAAGTCTCTAACATTGACCACAGCTAAACTACTGAGATCGTACATCACTTCGTAAACATATTTCATCAAACCACGACTGAAAAGTCATGATTCTATTGGAGGAAATACAATAATTTTAACTATACAGAGTGTATCTTTGAATGGGTATTAAATCTATACAAACACGATATTTAACCTTCAGAAACACATACCATAAGTTTATTTTCTCAAATGTCGCCATAAACACGGATTTTTATTGGAAATTTGCATATCTACTGAATATGTTAACATAACCTCAAAAAACAAATTATAACTCAATTATTTAATTTAAAAAATATGTTTCAGATTAACTGAACCCCATTTAAAGTACACACCTACCTGTTTGGATTTCTAGTCGTAATCATAAATCCATCCGTAAATAAGTACACATGAACGGTTTTTAAGGCCGTGTTTTCCGTCGGGTCAATTTCCAGCAGATCTCCTTCATATAAAAATGTGCGACCAGGCACTTCTAACAATTCCTAAAAGATTTACATTGTACAACTTTTTGAATCCGCCAGATATCACCCGTTACCTTGCATCCTTCCACTTTTTCTAAAATGCCAGCTATTTTTTGTTTATTCTCTTCCTCTATATCTTTCTCACCCACTTTATTTTCCCTTTCAATATTTATAGGGGCGCTGTCCTCTAAAATCGAGGTGGTAGATAAGGCACCGAGCAAAGATTTTTGTTCCGAAAGCAGGTGTGATAATTGATACATTTCACTTTCAAGATCTATGCTACTAGTTAAGAAAACAGTTTGAAAAAAAGTGTAGAGTTTATGAGAGTTAAATAAGGATACGTGATATTTCTTTAGCAGTGTCTATAAACTGCACGTAGTTTTGGTAGACATTTCGTTTAAGGTTATTGCTGGTTTCCTCTGATAGAGCCTGTATTTTCTTTCGGAGATTTTGCAGTTCTGATCCGCCCACATAACTTTGAGATAAGTCCCTTACATCTGCAATATTTATTTGTCATAACGTGTAAAATAAAAAAAAATACACCTACATTTATCAGGCGCGAAATCTTTGGAACTCAAGAGTTGGAAGCTTGGTTCTTTAGTTACTTCCATCGCCTTATCATTCAATCAAGAATTTTTATTTTTTATTTCAAAATTATTATATTCAAGAATCTATTTACTAAAATGTCAAAGTTGTCAAATATTATAAAGATTATTAACCTATAAAAATAGCTGTCAAAATTACATGTGACAAAACTTGGAATAAACATTTAGAAGAATAAAACAATATAATCTATTCGCTGAACGTTGTAAATTCTAAGGGCCCGTTCACATGGTACAGGATACAGAATTTGTGTGAGACCACTCAAATAAACAGAAGTATTTCCGTTTCATTCTAAATTTGTGATATTTTTTTACTGACAAATTTTAAATTCATTATAAAATATTTGTTGGTAATTTTCAAACAAAACCGGTTACTAACACTAGTTTGAACACTAGTTATTCTTGGTGACTACCATCATATTATTTATAAATAAAACGAGAAACTACTTAAATAAATTATTTTATTCTGTACAAAATATAAAACTAATTTAATTTGCCTAATTCAATTTTTTTCTGTATCAACTTCACCGAGTGATACAGGAAGGTGTCGAGAAGTCCAGCGACAGTGTACACTCCACCGATAATAGCACACACGTTTGTAAGGAAATGTCCAATAGATCTCTCACTTTCTGCATATTTCACCATCAACGGAGACAATTCGTATTGGAAAAATATACCAGGCATCCCCGATTCTCCACTCAACATCGACACTGTTTTTTGATGCTTCGTTACTGAAAACTGATTCGAGTTTATAATAGTTCCATCTTTCTTCACATATGTGGTTGGCACTATTTTCAAATAGTATTGGAACATGGTTGAACCTGAAAATTATAAAAAAAATTGTACATCACCACGTGAATGTATACTATATATACATATTACGATAATTATTGCAACATTCCGACATTTGTCAACTCGATCCTACGTCGTGTCTATCAAAACGCTCTTGTGACTTGTATTCGTAATATGTAACTCACACATGTCTAAAAAGTGTAATTCACAAAATAAATTTCGGTTTTGAAAAGTTTTTACTGAAAATTCGACGATTTAGAGTGCACATACTCCGGTGTTCACAAAAAATTCTCCGTGTACTTAAATAGTGACCGTTCTTGACCCCTTTGAGGTTATCTAAGGTACACATCATTCTTTAGACAAAATGCCTGTTCCCAGTGGTGTGTACCAACAACAAGGTCCCTCGTGCATGGACAGGATGAAGATGGGCTTTTTCCTAGGATTCTGCGTGGGTATGGCCAGTGGAGCACTGTTCGGTGGATTCTCAGCACTGCGGTACGTAATTTAACTATCTTTCGATAATTATATTAATTTTACGTTTTCTCCCCTGACGTCTGATTGAAAGAATAGACCATGATTCTTTTTCTTTTCAGGGGTGGTTTGAGAGGGAAGGAGCTAGTGAACACGGTGGGCAAAGTCATGTTACAGGGTGGAGGTTCCTTTGGCACATTTTTGGCCATCGGATCAGGTCTGAGATGTTGATCCGCACAATCTCGTGCAATCGTACTGAACAAGATACTTTAATTACCTGTCTTGATCTAGTTTTAGTGTAAAATATGTTACTCGTTTCTTCACTATTTCGGAAATAAATTTTTAGTACATAAAAGTTCGTTCATTTATCGAGTTTGTTAAAAGTAGTTTTCGGGTTAGCTAAGATTCAGAGGTATTGCAAGAAATACACAGGGTGTCTGCAGTATAAGTGCCGCATGGTTAATATGTGATGGTATAGATCAAAATAAACAAAAAATGTTTACAACGTGAATCCTAAGCGTCAACCATTTAAAAAATATATATATTACGTGTAATTTTGAGCTCACTTAAAGCTCCTGAAATAAAGGATCTTCTGTATGTTATCAGTACGGACGATATTTAATTGTGATTATTTTCCTGTCGTTTTTATTGTTTCCCAAACTATGCTCTCTCCGCAAATTGTTGATCGGTAGTAGTTGAGATTAAATTAATTACCGCTTAATTACAAGATTTTTAAAGTCAAATTTCAGTTATTTAATAAAATGTATTTGTTACCAATCTGTGTCAATGGCCTCTCAGATTGAGGCTAGTTTAAGAGAACTATACAATATCATTCAATCCACCTGATAAGACATGACAAGGAGTTAGGCGGACAAAAAACAAACGACCAAATGTTAATTTGGCAAAATTAGCTAGGCTGAATATGTCTCTGTTTTAGTTTATTATTATTTATATTTTAGTTTTCAGTTTATCAAACTAATGGAGCATCTTGTGTTGTGTAAGTGTATAACCCTATAAAACTATATTTAAATGTTTTGTGATGGTACTGTGTGTTTATGTGTCTTCATTGTTAAATTTTCGCGTGATATATCAGCAGGGTGTGAAAATTACTAAAATAGGATTCAAAAAAAATTTCAGTATTCACAACGGTATTTTAAAAAACAGACTTTCTACATGAATTTCTAAAGATAGTCTCCGTAAAATTGTGACCCTCTTTCAGTGCTATTTCCTGTATATAAAATTTTAAATTAACTCAAATTTCAGATTAAAAAAATGTTCAGAAAATGCTAATGGTTTTTAAAACAATATACACATTTTTTTGTTACAAAATTAAACAAATGATTTAATCTACCAACTCGACAATTACACTTTCAACAAAATATCACATTTCGTTTAGCTTTGAACATTACTATTCGTAGAGTTTCAGTCGATTTAATGAAATATGTGGGTGACCCATTAAGAATGGAGACACTAGCGTACAAAAGTTGTTTATGGACCGATTTGAACCGGTTTTTTTTTAAGATAGATCTCCAAAAGCTCTATCTTGATGCAAAATTTGAAGACGAAATTTTGATTTTCAAGGCCTACTACAAACTTTTTTTTTAAGTGAAAAATAGTAAAATTGTGTTAGCGATTTTTTTATAAAAAATCTGACTCCACCACTGGATTTAGGAACCCCTCAAATGCATTTGTACCAATTTTTGCGAAAAAAAGCTTGCCCCTAAAAAAGTTATGACAATATCGGCATCACCAGTGTTTGCCGTTATTGGTGAACCTATTCTTTTATAAAAACCGACTGAACCCAAAGGGAAACAAAATTAAATAACAAACATTGGTTTAATAATTATTAATAAGAACCATAAAAACCAGTATACATAAAATAAACAACAAGTTCGTCAAATTATTATTATTACGAGATATCCAGAAAATAACGTTGCTTAAAAATAATATGAACAAAATTTGGTTAGCTGTGAAAAATAGAAGTTAAGACAACAAATGTCAAACTTCGCAAGTAGTGGCACATTGTAATATTTTTTGTGCATGGTTAAATAAGTTCCATAATTCTTTGGGATGGCTCAAAGTTTAACTTTACATGTGAAAATTGAAATAGTACGCCTTTCTGGAGAAAATGATCAGACGGCAAGAGAACTAGTTTTTTCCGATTTAATGCCCTTTTGGAGTAGATAGGTATTATTTATCATTAAGNTAGTAAACCAGTGTTTGTTAATTAATTTTTGTTTCCCTTTGGGTTCTATATCGGTGAACCTATTATAAAATAATAGGTTCACCGATAATGGCAAACACTGGTGATGCCGATATTGTCATAACTTTTTTAGGGACAAACTTTTTTCGCAAAAATTGGTACAAATGCATTTGAGGGGTTCCTAAATCCAGTGGTGTAGTCAGATTTTTTATAAAAAAATCGCTAACAAAATTTTGCTATTTTTCACTTAAAAAAAAATTCGTAGTAGGATTGAAAATCAAAATTTAGTCTTCAAATTTTGCATCAAGGTAGAGCTTTTGGAGATCTATCTTTAAAAAAAAACCCTGTTCAAATCGGTCCATAAACAACTTTTGTACGCGAGTGTTTCCATTCTTAATGGGTCACCCTGTAGATTTGTTTATACAATGAAATTATTTTTATTGCTTTCTACTGACATAAATATACTTTATCACTTTTTATACATTCTCTTAGAATTAATTTTTGCTTCTCGAATGAGATTTCAACACTCTTATTTACGGTATCATTTAACTTTGTACATACCCTCTGTCGCAAGGCCTACAGTATCCTTCAACGGATTGTGAGTCCGACTGTCGATGCTAGTCCCAAATGATAAGTGCCGGATTGTGTGCGTCGTATTAAACTCGCCGGAAGAAAACGGTTGTACATCGTGCACATGTACGTGGCTAACACTAAAGCTTTTCCCGGGGGCTATGTGGAAACTACCGCTAACTCTGTTAACTATTAGGCTACCGTATATCTGGCAACCTTGCGTGAAAGCCGTTTTCAGCTTCTCGCTGATTTTTTCTTCCTGGCACTGAGATATATTTTCTAAATTCTCCAGTGCCCACCTTCGTTCCCTGTAAGCTTCTCTTACGTCGTCGCACGTATTGCAACATTTACTGGGGTCGAGTGCAGCACCGTAACAACTGCCGCACTCCGTTTTGTTTTGAACGGCAACCTAAAAGACCCGTTATATCAATAATTGTTTGAGTAATGTTATTATATTACTTACATCCGTGTCATTCTTGCTTTTAATAGTAATATCCTCTTTTTTTGGGTCCTCGATAGGTTTACCTTGAAGATCTAACCTCCTCTTGTAAATATTGTGATCTATTTGAAGATGCTGTTCACCCGAGGAGTCCATTGCATCTAAAGCTAAAACTAAGTATACAATAATTACACCAACAAACAAAAATATTTATTTTAGTAACTTACAATCACAAGAAATCTTTGGAATTGTAAAATCCAAATTAATTTGAATGTTTGGACTCCTTGATGTATCGACAAAAAGTTCTTCTGTAACATTTGCTGTGAGATAGTTGACTAATTCAGTCCAAAACAGTAAACCCATAATGATAAAACTAATAATAGTAACTAAAAAAAACATGATAAGTTAAAGAATTAGCAGTTATTTTAGGTACATACTAGTTCCGCCCCCATATGTCTGTATTCTAACATCTTCTAGTGTTTTAGGGTAGGCATCAAATCGTCTAAGTTTTTTAAAAAATTCGAACATGTCTACACCTTTTTTTAAATCTACACCTGCTTTGTGACGTTGAAATGTTGACAAATTATCAAGAATTAGGTTAAATTTTCTAGATTCTGCATCTTCTTCCAAAAAATCGTTTTAGACTACTTATTACAAATCAGAGGTAAATAGACGCGGAACCGTTAGTATCTTTGTCTGGAAAAATTTTATTGGCTGAAATTCTGATCGCCTCCTAGTACATCCAATAATATAGTGACGTGCAAGATCAAACAATTAGTTCTACTTCCATTATTTTAATACGTATATGCATTCCAATCCAATATCAATTCCAATTTCCAATTAAGAGGCATGGACCATTGAAAAAATATTTAACGCTGTGATTGTCATTTAACGTAAATAAATAAACATTTTAAATTAAAGAGACCGCAAAATGAGTATTATGATGTATATGCTTCGAAATATGAAGCAATCGCCCTTTGCACCTCTTCAACTAACTCACAATGGTAAGAATTACGATTACTTTTACTTTTTATATCGAGCAATTTTTTATTTGCTAGAAAGCATAATAAGACTCTCCTCATCTAATGAAATAGTGAGTCCCCGGATGCAAGAATTCAAAAAGAAATTAAGAGAAAAGACACCCATTGGAAAACTAGATGAACCATTAGGAAAACACCCCTATCAAGAAGAAGAGCCACTACAGCCGTGGCCCGATAATACTAATCCCCATACTGGAGAAATTGGAGGCCCTAAAGGTCCAGAACCCACAAGATATGGGGATTGGGAAAGAAAAGGAAGAGTTACTGATTTTTAATGAATTTAGGGGAATGTGGGCGGCCTTTTTGTTAGTTGAACATTTATGTGAATTATTAGTGTGTGTTTAGAAACAAATATTTGTTATTACAAAAACGTCATTTCATCATACAGACTTTTGTAGAAAAATGTTATTACTAAACTGCTAGTATTCAAAAGTTAACGTGAATAAAATGTAAACGTTTCAACCGCTACTTTTTCTACAGCATCACAATGGTTTATATACGATTCTTTCAAAGACGAGGCCTATTCTCAATTCAAGTCAAGCGCCTCGTCCTCTGACGAAACTTGTTCATAAAGAAATCGGAGAGAACATAAACAAAGCCTTGAGTTTTATGCAAAATTGTGATACTATATGTAAAGTTTAGCAGCCCAAGAAAAACTAATAATACTGTAAGTAATACATTTTATAGTGTACCTGGATGCAAATCTAAAGGGCGATAAAGATATAACAGTTCCTTATTAATAGTGTGGTTAGTATTTAAGATCTCACATTCTTTTCTAATTTGAGATGAAAAATTTTAGTCTATATAGGTACTTAAAAATACCCAAAACACAATGTTATGACTGTAATAAAAAGAGGAAAGGGTTAATTCAAATGTATTTGCCAGTTGTAAAACAAATGCTTCATCAATGATTTTAAAAAAATATAAATCCATATAATTTGTGAGGTTATGTTTTTTTTTAAAATGGGGATGACCCAAAAGAACGTGGGGGATCAAAAGACCAAACGTGAGAATTTGTTCGTTTAAATGGCTATTATAGTTGCCACTCCATGACTACGGCACTGCATTTTTCATCGATTTTGTGTTTTTTGTTTTTCAGTTGTTACGGAAGATGGCGTTGGTAGTATAATTGTTGTGTCGTTGCGGTTATTTTTTTTGTAAATAATACCGTAGAATAATGTGTAATAACTTTAATATATTTTTAAATTAACTCTACAGTAATATGCTAATTAAGAGGGTTTTAATAACCTGTGGTTTAGCAACTGGTCTTACTTTCTCAGTTTATTCAATTTTTATGAAATTCCGTGGTCTGTGGTGTAGAGGTCACGCGGATCAAGTTCAAAATAAGGCGCAAAAAGTGTCGGAAAAAAATAAAATGTTGAAATCTAGTAGAACGGCAAAACCACTTCGTATGTGGATAGATGGAAAATGTTTCAATATAAGAAAATTTAAGAGGAATACAAAGAAGACAAGTCAGCGAACTATTATTCACGCTGATTGTAAGTTTGCTAAAAGAGGTTATATTTTCAGTTTATTTAGTTTTTTTTTACAGTTAAAAATCAAACTGTGTCGAAGGAAGTCGATATTGTTGATGTTGAATATAAAAATGAAATAGATATTGTAACGGACGACAATGGGAAAGTATCTCTTAGTTTTCACTTGCCATCGTAAGTAGAATCTGAGTATTATTGTCTCCACTCAATTCAACCTATTTTAGTATATATTACATAAAGTTACATCAGTTTACTGAGTTTGACATAAAACATTTGTCCGATAAAACTCAAACAAATATTTCGTGGCCAAGGCATGGACAAAACGGTAAATTATCTATCAACGGCCACGACAAGAAGAACATCGAAGACGCAGTGAATGAAATTCATTCAGTAATCGGAGCTATTAGAGAACAACTTACTGCCGCCCAATTCATATCAATTCCTATATTAAGTAAAGAAGTTCAAACAAATTTTGAGAAATTCAAGGTATTAAAATTAGTAACAATATAATTTCTTTAAATCGGGACTGAATTTTTGTTATTTCAGGCTGAAATACTGAATGGAGAAGAAATAAAAGGGATGCACGAGTCTATTTTTCAGAGTCCTCTGAAGTTGCATCTAACAATAATTGTTTTTGCTCTTTCGGATGAAAGAGAGAAAGCAGAAGCAGTGAAAGCTTTGGAAGAATACAAAGACACGGTTTTGTGGTGAGTATTTTCTTGTTTACACAGATTGTAATTTTAAGTGAGGGTCAGTGCAGTAAATAATTTTTTGGGAGTATCACGGTCTGTTATTTTCATCGCTAAGGTAACGTATCAAGCCTTTGAGATTGGTGCCCTTGATTTTAGTCCACTGTTGGAAAAAACGGGACCCCTGAGACTACGTGTGGAAGGAATTGACTGCATGCAAAGTAATTATAAAAAAACAGACGTGCTGTTTGCAAACGTAAAGATAATCAATGAAACAGATGAAGGGAATTTGCAAAAAATAGCGAACGACATCGCCAACCACTTCTATGAAAAAGGTAACATTTGTATAGCTTCAAAGTTGTAATACTCCACACCTTCTCTTCTTCTTCTTGTAGGGTTGGTGTTGAGACATACGGAAAACGTCAAACTGCACATGACATTGATAAATACAAAGTACAGGAAAAGTCCAGACAATCCGAGTCCTAGTCGTAAGAGGTGGGTCAAAAGGGAGAGTTTTGACGCCTCTCTAATAATGCAGAAGTACAAAGATTTCGTGTTCGGTGAATGCGATTTGGACAGCATTCACCTCTCTCTGATCTCAACTAAGGGAGAAGACGGTTTCTACAAACCGCTGTCCATTATTAAAATATAAAGCAATATCGTTTTGTGATTTTAGAAAGTGTGAAATTTTATCGTAAATTTGTGAAATATATTTCTTATTTTATTCCATCTGGGCGTTTAATTTACAGTTAAAGAGGAATTGTCCTCCATACTCTCCAGATTTAACTCCGAGTCACCGGTACCTACTTAAGTGGTAAGTAAGCAAATATGCAAAATTTCCACGTTCACGGTTTTGAAAAAAGTTAATTCCCACACGGATTAAGCCTATCTGTGTTTTATCTCAGATTTATCCAGCAATAGAGATAAATCAACAAAGAAAGACAAGTTCAAACAACCTGGAATTACATTTTACTACATAAAACCAAATATATTATTATTTAAGCCTACGAATAGTTATATTTATTAGGTTTCGGAGATTACTATTATCAGCACGACTGGTTGTTTTTCTTAACGATATTTTAAGTGTTAATTAAAACTTGTTAGCGTCATGTAAATATTGAACTAGGAACTCTTGATAACCGGGCAATAACAAGTTTATCTCTTTATTGGGAGTTAAACACAAGCATTTTCTGTTAAAAACATCGATGTGTAAAGTTCACACCATTTCGGATCACACAATTTAAATCTGCGAGATGGTCAATTCCTCCAACAAAATATCCTACTACAATGGCCAGAAATACAGCTCCATACCGCAGCTGCATGGTGAGCAAACTGCTTTCTGTTTTTCACGTGAGATAGTGATAGTCGTTGATAAATTTCAACACGGGTCAACGCTTTTACGGTTAATGAAATTGGGAAACTCGGATGGAATTTGCCAAACAAATATAATTAATAGTGATTGTTGGACAAATATAAGAATTATTTATTGCATGTGTGTCTTAATATGTGCAGGGAATCTGTGTAACTAATGGTGACGGAAATTACTTAGGTATTTGAATTTTAAAATAACCGCTCATAACTACAGTGCCCTCTTGTGAATGAAAAATATACTTAGTTGACAAACGACAACAATTTCTGTGAAAGAACTGGTTTTTCAAATTAAATTATGTTTTGATCGTGGTTTTGATAAAAATAACTTATTATACAAGACTGAATCTATGTAAATACCTTGTGTTGGTTGTGTGTAGAAGTTATTAATGGGTGCTAATTGTGATAATTCTTCGAAACGGTCACACCTGACATTTCTAAGGTTATATATTTGTACAAATTTTGATATTTTATAATAGTCTTTGTTTTTTCTAAACTAAGTGATTAGATTATGTATTTGCGGGTGTTCAGGCGGTGAAATAGTTGTGAAAAAAATATTTGCACACCTTATATTTTAACTGCGTCAAGTATGTAGATAAAATTCAATACTCTAAAAATATAAATATTAGAATTAGAGGTCATTAAAGATAACAATAAGGAAGTAAAATATAAAAATATTTTATTATCTATAATCTGCAGAAGACCTAAAATCGTGTTTATCAGTTATAACAACCCGTCAAAATTGTAATTTAAATTTAAAAAAGTTAAGAAATATTTGAATCTACAATACTGCATAAGAATTTCATTTTTTTTATTGGTACATCCTACTGTGCTTACAATTTCTCACAAATAATAATAATTTATGTTATAAAATATATATAAATTCAGGTCCAATAATCATTACGATAAGATAAGTAGTAGGTACTTAGTTTCCCTAAATCTATAATTCAGAAATTTATTACAAGATAATTAAGTATAGACTTTTATTTGGAGCATTAGACGCTTTATCCAGATGTAAAGTCTCGTATATAATTATGTTTATTTGTAGACGGCAGAAAGATGCATGGAGTCAAACGAGTCATAGTCTTCTGTCTCATGACGACCATCTTGCCCACCATCCTCATCATAATCCCCCTGTACTTGCGACACAGCGTCTTTGCCGACGTCACACATCCCGTCGCAGAATCCGACGTGGTTCCCATCGAGGACGGGCTGTCAACGGTGTTCTGTGAAGCGTTGTCATTGAAAATGAACACGTCGTTTAACGCATTCCAACTTAGGGGTAAGCCGCAGTTGAGCCAAAAGAGGAAACACATAAGACTTAAAAAATCGATGACTTTGCCTGACGATACTCTGGAATATTGGGGGTTCTATTTGTTAAAAGGAGCGCTGGTGAAACTGAAGGTAGTATACATGAAAAATCGTGTTTTTTTTACATGAATGAGTTTTTATGTGCAGGTGTGTTCCCGGTATGAAGGATCGAGGATTCTAGTCGTAAGGGGCGAAAAAAACCTGAAAACCTGCGGCTTAATGGAGCACAACTTGAAGAAGTACGGGGCAAAAATGGACGTGGAACACAGCAGGGTTAAAGTGACTTACGAAACAGCCGCGGAGGAGCTTGGTTTGGTAGACAAACAGTCTATAGACATCAATTCAGCCGCGGAGGACTTTACGGATGATAAAGACGAAGTTAGGAAGAGGATAGAGTTGGGAAAGCATAGAAATAGCAAATTTAACTTTATCCATGGTGCAAAGCAACAAAATAGTAGTAGCTCGAGGTACAATGTGGAAAATAAGGACGGCGGAGAGCACGTTAGGCACCAGAAAAGGCATATCGGCAAACGACAAGAGGAGATAAAGAAACTTAAAGGAGAATTGGATGGTAAGTTTGGATATAAATGCAAGTTGGCCGAGGAAACAGTGGAATAATGAAACAAACGCCCAGTGTTTCCATGGCCTACTTTTTCAAAGAAATCATAAGTAGGCTTATATTTCAGGTTGTGTATGAAACATGGGCGGATTTAGATGGGGGGGGGGGCGTTTGTACAGTTGATGTCTTAAAAAACATGTTTTTAAACAGAAAAATTTTAATCTTTATTAATTTATTCTATTTGATCTTTGATTTGGTCGCTTCAAAGAGCAATTTCTAGACGATTTTATAATATTGTGGGGTATGGAGCTCTTGAGGTTTATTTTTATGGTTGATTCTTTGTTGTTTTATTTGTACTAAAAAAAAATCAATCGGATCGGATAAATTTTTTATGAACTTTCATTTAGGAAAATATAATAATAATAAAGTTTATAAATTTTTATAATTTTGAATGGGGCTTGTGTTTATACAGAGGATTTTCTAAAATTTCGCATATTTAAAATTAAAAATGTTGCTTTTGTAAATATTGGAAAATAGAGAGCATTAAAATCAATTTTAAGAAAAGAAAATATGAAATTGTTTGTGCCTGGTGAAAATTTTCCAAAAGTAAATTAAGAATTTTACAACAATGATAAAAATAATATATTCAAAGCCATCTCAAAAATAATGCACCTTTTTTTCAAATGTTTACGGATTAAAGGAAATTTATAAGAAATAAATAATACAAGTTGGCCAAGCAAACAGAAGAATAGTAAAACAAATGCTATCGTATAGCCTCCATGGCTCACTTCACAAACTAAACAATTATTTCAAATTACCGTTCTCCTTTCTAGGACAGGAGAGACTCAGAAGGAGCATGAACCCACTAGACGGTCACATAACACACGGCGGCAACGCCTTCAACGTCTCCTCAGTCCTGGACGACGCGAGCAACAGCGTGTCGAGCTTCGAAACGGACCTACTCATCTGCTACGACGGAAAAATCCTCTTGACGAGAGGCTTCTCCCCGAGCAAATCCTGCAGCAACGTGGACTACCTGGAGAAGAGCAACCACATGATAACGGAACACCTGGTGGCCTCCGACGGGTATTATTACTACATTTTCTATTCCGATAACGATTTCGTCCGGAACGATATACACGCGGTATTCGACATTTACAAGCCGACGTACAGGTTCGCCAACACGAGCAGCGGGAGTGAATGCGTGAATCAGACCGAGTGCAAGTTTCCGATCAGGTTTATGTCCGACGAGACGGTTATAGTCGAGGTGCCTACCAGGGACGGTATCGAGCACGAAGAGGACGACATAACGTTGTTGACGAGTACGTGTCACCCGCGGATGGCCGTCTATATGGTCTTTCCCATATTGGTGCTGCTGATGATTCTGGCGTGCGCGTTTTTGTAGGTTCGGGTCGTTTAAGTCTGATCCGGGTAGAAAGCGGAAAGGGTTTTACTAAAATGACAAAGATCCGGCAGAAAATTGAAATCATTATTGTTTTTGTCTTTGCAATAATTATTTTTTCTCGGAATTGTCGGGACACAAATCTGGAAGAAATTCAGTATTGTTTTTGGATATTTTTAGATTTCTTTTGGAAATATTCCTTAACTGTCTGGGAAAATGGGGTAAACAACAGTTTATTTTTAATATAAAGAGCGGTAGCGGGTCAAGAACCTGTGTGCATAGCTGTATTTGCAAGAACGAGGGGGGTGACATCTGCTGTATTAACGTAAAATTGCTTTCAAAGGGAAAACGTTCAGTTTTGTTTTTGATTATTTTTTACGTTTTTTTTTTTGGCAATATTCCGTCACTGCCTCGAAAAAAGTGTAAACGGCAGTTTATTTTTAATACGAAAGTGGGATATAAATTTTATATATTTTTTTAAAGTGCGTATTATACCCGTTTTCCAGTTTCTTTCCCCTTTTTAGCATTATCGACTTAATTGAATATTCCTATCTTTCATTATTTGAGTTGATAATACAGGATGAAAATACACTCAGTACGCACCAAGTGTAAAACTTCAAATATGTCGAAAACGTTATACAAAAATGGACGGTAGGTGAGATATAACCTACAAAGTATATGTAGTGCCTACTGGTGTCACTTTGTATCTACTGGCAAAGAGTGACCTACTAACCTAGGAGTAGATGCTAGGGGTACGAAAATTCACTCCTGGCACTCTTATTATTACCTTTATCCTTGACATTCTTATGGTTTTTGAGAAAAAATGGTAATTTGACGTGAAATAAACTTTAAGCTAATGATAATGTGAGAAACGATTACTCTGTGAGATACATGCTCCGTCCGGCATCGAATTACAACCGTAATATTTAGTAAACAGTAGGCATTGAGTACAGCAATGACATTTCAAATATGAGATGTACTTTGTAGGTTATATCTGACAGAGCAACCTACCCCAGTAGGTACAAAGTAATGCTTTGTGCCAGTAGGCGTGATATTTAAAATATGACACTTTGTACTTCATGTCGGCAATGGTCCCTCAACAATATATGGGAGTAAATACGGTCAAAAAAATTTTTGACCCGATAAAATTTACTTTTATTGACTGAAATTTGGATTTTTGCCATTTTTAGATGCAATTCCTTTATAAAATGAATTGTAAAAAATGGTGAACAAGCCCGTTGTGCGCAGAATACAAAAATGACTGCGCAACTTTAGAAAAATTAGAGACATCGGTCTATGTCTGAAGATAATGCTGATGAATGATCTTAGCTATTTGATAGATATTGAGGATGTAATTCAATGCTGGACAGAACGTGTGGTTGTTTCCCACAATATCATCAGTTGAAAAATGGAGAGGTTTTTGTTATTGTAAAAGGCGAGTTTTTATTTTTAACAGAAATAAATTAAAATATGTTGAAAAATCTGAAGTCCACAGTAAAAGCTCATTTCTAAATGAGTAATAAAAAAGTGGTAAAAATTTGTTAAATTTTGAAAAATGCCCGATGCGGAATCTTGACAATGGCAAAACGTCATTGCTCACTCGTTTTTTCTCCATTTAACGAATTTATATTTTTATAATCATTTTTTTAATGAAGTGTATCTTATATTAAGAACATTATTTCTCCATTCCACTGCAAATTTCTAATTTTATTAGGTACTATTACTATTATTAAGAAAAATGGACAAACCACTGAATTTTTGATGATTTACAATTCAATTATATGAAATTTTAAATAATTAGAAATTCATTATGTACCAAAGAGCTGTTCTACATTCTACATTGAACTGGTGCTGAATTATATGCAGTTTTGTAACCAGACCACTGATTGTCGATCCAGGTGACTAGATTGTCGTCATTATAGGATATTCGTTGCTCATTTGTTTTAATAACGTAGCGACATCTAGGGCATTATCAAAGAAACAAAATAGGCGTCTGAAAAGAGTGACCATAAAAAACCTGTGATTTTCGCCCGTTTTTTCACAATTCATAGAATTAGAGAATTAAAAAAATACATAAAAATATGTTTTTGGTCGCAAATTACTTGTCGTTAAAAACTGAAATGAGCATAGCTTTTAGTATTTTGAAAATTTTTAAAATCACCCCTACTTAGGGGTTGAAAAAATGCCAAAAATGAAGAATTTGATTATTACCAATTGATATAAAAACTATTAGCATGTGAATTATCTTAATATATTATTTTGGGAATTTTTACGATTATTTCTGATTTTCTCTATTTTTGGAGATGATTCCACCCCCTGAGCGCGCTTAAGGGTGGATTTTCTAGTTCAACACACTTATTTCAGTCATGAGAATCTTTGTATCAAGAATCATTCGATGGAAAAATTCACATGCTAATAGTTTTTATATTTATTGGTAATATTCAATTCTTCATTTTGGGCGTCTTTTCAACCCCTAAATAGGGGTGATTTTTGGAAATTTTCAAAAAACTAAAAGCTATGCTCATCTTAATTTTTTACGACGAGTAATTTGAGATTCAAAAACATATTTTTATCTATTTTCTTTAGTTCTCTGCGAATTGTGAAAAAACGGGCGATTTTTGCAGTCACTCTTTGTAGATGCGTTAATGGTCCAGTACATATTAAAATCGCTTCATAAATAAAAAAAAATTAATAATTATATCTTTCCTTGCATATTACTAGTCCTCATATAAATTAATTTTAGCTCTGTAGAGATAAATGTGTTAGATTTACATAAAAACATTGTTAAGGAACTAATTGTTGAAGTGGATGTGTATTGTACAGGGTGAGCCACTTAACATTTCCACTTTCACGCCTTGAGAAACTGAAAGATGTGTTTTAAATTGGTATTAGGACAATGAAGGGGTCGGTTTAGTGTAAAAATATTTTTCCTGCGATCTATATGATTTCAGCTTTTTGACGGTCAATTTAGTATAAAAAAGTCACATTTTCGCACCAACTAAAATTTTAAAAAATTAAAAAATTATAAATATTTGATACTCACAGTGCGGTAGTAAATTTTGCCTCGAAAAATTTTTTAAATGTCTCGCGATTTATTTCTATTCTTTTGTTCATCAAATTCAATAAAAAAAAATGATTAGTTCATTGATATTTATATTTTAGAGGTCGCTCGAAAACACTACTTTGAAAGTTAAAATAAGATTATGAGTGACTAGAAATTAAAATATCGATTTGAAATTTTCAGCATCGAGATTTTTTTCAACCTAGAAAATGAAAATAACTAGAAAAAAAATTAATTTTTGACGATTTTGGAAATTTTTAAAAATCTTGAGTGACCTCTAAAAATATTTTTTTCAACTGATTTTTTGAGGAGGCTCTTAAAACATAATAAACTAACATATTTTCACAAGAGACACGAAAAAAATATATTCGTTTTTTTTGGGCCACCCTAATGTTTATAGAAAAAATATTGCATGAAACTCGTAACAAAAGGTGTTTTCGATGATCTTTGTGCTGTCAACATGTACTCTCGGTCTCAAATCGCATCCCAAAAAAAACTTGCTGTAGTTACATAAACAACTATTTATTTCTTCATATCCGTGAATGACGTCATGCAACGATTTTTTTTTTTCAGTTTTTCCAATCCGCTTACTCAGTAAAATGAACCATTTATCGAATTATTGTCATCATTTTCACCAATTTAAAACAATTTTTTTAGTTTTTAAGGAAACACCAGCGGAAATGTTAATCGGCGAGTATATTTATTTTTTTATAGATGTTCGGAATGTTAGACTTGTATTTTTTATATTTTCTTATGTTATTGTTACATATATGGATAATTAATTAATAGGTACACGAATTTGTCTGTGATTGATGGTGCATTTTCGCTATTATCTTCGTGGTAGTTGTTATGATGTCTTTTACCGATTTCTTCTATTAAAAGTATGTAGGAGCCAAGATATTTATATAGAAAAAATCTTCCACCTGAAATTATTAAGACTGCTGAAAACGTAATTACTGAACCGTACAAATTTAATAGTTATTACTTCTAATGGAAGAAAGTACTAGTTAAAATTTCGCTTGCTAAATAAAAGTAGTTCGAAAGTAATTTTTAACTGAACAGTTATCGTTCAAATGTATATGTTTTATTTTATATGGATTAATCTAGAAATATTTTATTTTTATATCTGGGTAAATGTGCAATATATTTTAATTAGTAGTTTTAAAAATTTGATGCCTATGTGTCATAAAGGCTTATTCCGACCTATAATTAAAGAAAACAATCAAAACTAATTAATAGATACATTTCCACTTGTAATATCTACTTATTTTCCTAATAAAACAAATGTGAGCAAGGTGTTTTTATTATTTGACCCCTAAAGTTATACAGGGCGTGTCCAGGTAAGCGGAACGATTCGCAAAAGACAAAAGAAGCTAGTGTTGGCCTTCCAGGATCCAGCGGTGCTCATTTGTGAAACAAAAGTGCCACGATTTCATATTTGAAATCCATAGTGAGCCTTGGAAATATGGGAATATCAAAATAACTAACTTTTTTCAGTAATAAAGTGCTGTTTCTGTATGAGATATGACGAAATGTTATTGCGACAAGTTTCTCAATAAAAAACAGAGTAAGTGCAAAATTTCAATGCTTGATTTCAGATTTTTCTTGCTGGCAAAGCGTTTGTTCCAAATGTCAGTGCATTAGCGCAAATAATATAATTTAACAAATCAAAATAATAAGTGGCACAGTAAAGGCTTCCCTGTATATTATAAAAGTTCTTGTTTTGCATATAAATAGGAATGGTTAGTAATAAATAAAAATAAGTATAATAAACTACAAAAACCACTAAATATGAAATTTGGATGCTTTCCAATACTACATATCTTGCATCAATTCTAACCAGAAATGTCGCAATAGCTTTTAACTTTAAAGTTGATGTGACTCGACTTGCCAAAATCTGCTACTCTGATTGCATTATGTTGTCAGTTGAGTTGATTCTAATATTTCTAGCATGTTCTTAATTAAAAAAAAAATAGTTCTGACATTCTTGACATCAATCACAAAAATAGGTACTTACTGTTACAGTTTTTCTATAGATCAATCAGTAGCAACATTTGAATAAAGTAAAAGATACCCGCATTTTTATAATTCAACAAAATTACTGATTAATTTTCTAAAACAATTTCTGTTGTGCCACTTTCGAAATAAAAGAACTGGTTTGGAAACAAAACGCCGTCTTCATCAAGTAGTATCCAATCAGTTTTAAGTAAATTTTTTAGCCATTATAGGCTTTGTCAAAATTTACAAGTGTCAGATTTCAATCTGCTTTTGAATTTTGGCGGTTATTTTGACAGTGAGATTCCGGAAATAGAGAAGAAGCAGCCATGTTACTGCGCCCGAAAATATAGTGCCACCTTCCAGCACATATTTCACAACAAAAAACTTACATTCTTGGGATTCCAAACAACCTGCACTTGTAACTATAATAATAGAGTGAACGGAGAATTATTTTGAAGTAAATAAGGGTAAACTAGGCCCTAAATATTTAAAGAGTGGGAGACTTTATGCGCGTAGAAACATAACAGTGCGCTCGCAACCTTGGCAGTTTGTTCAGTCTTTTCCGTTTAGCAAAACGCGAAGTTAACATGTCTTTACAAGATCGACGGTAAGTTTTGTTTTCCTTGAGAAAATAAACTGTGTGTAACGTGTAACCGTAAGTAGAAACACTTCAATGTGGCTGCTTTATGATTTTCTGTTAATTAACTGCCCCTGTTTGGTGTACTTTAATCATATTTAGTCATTTTTTTCGGCGTGAATGTTCATAAGCTCTTGCCAACATGGCGCATGGAAATGTGCAAGAAATTTTGTAGAAATCTCGCACTGCATGCCGTATTGTCTCGGCAAAAATCTTCTAGAAAGAGCTGAGTAATGTTTAAAAATAGAACTGTTTTGGTTCATAGGTCTGGCAAAAATTTAAGTTTACACCCCCTAGAAAGTGATATTTTTTTAGTTTTCATGTTAAATTTCCACGCCACATTATATAACAAAGATATAGTCGCCAGTAAAGAGCTTTGTTTTGATTTCTTAACCCTTGACTACCTCCTAGGGTATGTGAGGTATTTCGAGGAGCAGCAGCATATGCTGGGAGTGTTAAGGTTGTTATTTGAAGGTTATTTGTCCCCTAACTGTTCTCTGTTTTTAGTAACGAAGAGTGGGACAAGAATGGCCCTGCTAGTGAAGAAAAGGAATTACAGGGATATGACGGTCCACCAGGAATGGACCCCGATGGCATCATCGAGTCCAACTGGGAGGAAGTGGTCGATAATTTCGACGACATGAACCTGAAAGAGGAACTGTTGAGGGGTATCTACGCCTACGGTTTCGAGAAGCCTTCTGCCATCCAGCAACGTGCAATTATCCCCTGTATTAAAGGACACGACGTCATAGCCCAGGCCCAGTCTGGTACCGGTAAGACTGCCACATTTTCCATTTCCATCCTCCAGCAAATCGACACCTCGGTGCGGGAATGCCAAGCACTGATTCTGGCGCCCACTCGGGAACTGGCCCAACAGATCCAAAAGGTAGTGATCGCCCTGGGGGATTTCATGTCGGCGCAATGCCACGCCTGCATCGGCGGCACCAACGTTCGGGAGGACATGAGAAAACTGGACACGGGCGTGCACGTGGTGGTGGGCACGCCCGGCAGGGTGCAGGACATGATAAATCGCAGAGCTTTAAGAGCGAACCACATAAAGATGTTTGTGCTAGACGAGGCGGACGAGATGTTGTCCAGGGGGTTCAAGGACCAGATCCACGATGTATTCAAATTGTTAAATTCCGACGTCCAGGTCGTCCTGCTGTCCGCCACGATGCCGACGGACGTGCTCGACGTCACAAAGTCCTTCATGAGGAATCCCGTCAGGATCCTGGTTAAGAAGGAGGAACTCACCCTGGAGGGTATCAAACAGTTCTTCGTGTACGTGGAACGGGAGGACTGGAAGCTGGAGACGTTGTGCGACTTGTACGATACCTTGTCGATTGCGCAGGCCGTGATCTTCTGTAATACCAGGCGTAAGGTCGACTGGCTCACGGAGAACATGCACAAAAGGGACTTTACCGTGTCGGCCATGCACGGCGACATGGAACAGAGGGAGCGTGACGTCATCATGCGTCAGTTCAGGACGGGGTCTTCGAGGGTCCTTATCACCACCGATCTGCTCGCCAGGGGTATCGATGTACAGCAAGTGTCACTAGTTATAAATTACGATTTGCCATCGAATAGGGAAAACTACATTCATAGGTGAGTCTTGAAATACTTGTTATTATCGTTTAATTAATCGTTTTTTACATTTGTTTTATTATTTTAAAATATTTCGACGGAAACTTTGTTTTGTAACTCGTTATTGTTGTTTAATTAATTGTTCTTTATATGGTTCTTCAGAGAACAGTGGGAATTTTGTTTTTATTCCTTCAAAATATTTCGGCACAAATATTGAGTGAAATAAAACATTAAACAAAATTTTTGGTCTAAAGATTGTAGCAACTCTTTAATTGCCTCGAGTGGCCCCAATATTTCTAAAATCGTACAGTTAATCTATTTGTATTATTTATTTATTTATTTACGAAGGTCTATTTTTTTTATTTGTGTTGCTACATCAGTAATAGTCGCAAACACTGAAGGCAATAGGTTATAAAATAAAATTATAAAGGAACAGAAAACACTAAAAAAAGCGAATAAAAATATTGGCAGTTATTTACTATTGCGTAAAACTCTAAAAAATTCATAAAACTTTTCCTAATCCATGAAATCTGAAATTATTTTTGTGCGGTTTTCGAGAAACATTTTTAATAATTCTGACCTGTACGTTTCTCAGAACACTCAAATCCTCATCGTTCATAATATTTTAACGTCTGTACACTTTTTAAAACGCATATACTTAATTTGGGATAAGTAACTCACATTTTCAGAAATTTGGAGAAATGTTTTTATTTAATATTATATTTATATATTTATTTATTCCTTGGCCATTTCCACTTTATAACGTTATCGCGTCCTCTCTTGTTTGTCAACATTTCAATCGTCATTGTCTGAAATAAATTTGCGCTACTTAGTAACCTTATAATAAGGTTACTAAGTACCGCAAATTTATTTCACTGTTGCACACAAATTCTTGAAACCGTAGCCCTGTGGGTTTAAGTTTTGTGGGTTTAGATTTTATTGGTTTAAATATTATGGGTCTGGGTTTTGTGCGTATAGTTTAATGAATTTAGGTTTAGTAGGTTCGGTTTTTAGGCTTATGGTTTCAAGAATTTGTGGTTGAAAGGTTGAAAGGGAAATTAACTGGTTTTAAAATTTATGCCTTACATTTTTTATATTCGCTAAATATTGTTCATTAAGATATTGCAAGTTGAGATCTTAAAACATCACAATTGTCGCAGTGACGAAAGCGGACATAATTACGAGTATTTTAAAAAAATGTATCCCAATTTGGACAATTTTTACAACCTCGCATGTAATTTTGAGCGTCCACTCTGCGACAATGAAATAAATTTGCGGTACTTATTAACCTTATTATAAGGTTACTATGTACCGCAAATTTACTTCAGAGGATGACGATCAAAATGTTGACAAACAAGAGAGAATGCAATAACGTTAAAAAGTGAAGATGGCCCACTGGGCGTCGGAAATAGAAGGGTTGGCAAAATGTCTTGAAGATTTGAAAGTTTTATGCTGTACTAAATAATTACCAATATTTCATTGAAAAGCTATTTCATTGACAATCTCTTGAATTAATATAAATTTTATTAAATAGTTGAACCAAAGCTTCATATGGGAAATTATTTTCTGATTTTGAATACAAGATTAAATAAAAGTAAAATGTTAATAACAAGAATTTTTGTTTGTTGAAGATTTTTCTCTGTAGAGAAATGATACATAAAAATATATTCAACGACATTCGACAGTCATTCCGATTAAGCATTCTAAAACATTACCAATTTGTGACCCAACAAATTCATCAAGAAATTGACCAATATTGGTACACGTAATATACAAATTGTGGCAAATTTGACAATTTTTGCTATTTTTTGTGACTCGTTATTTATTCAAAAGTACCAATTTTAGTTACATTTTGACACATCTGTATATGGTGATTTATTTCTTTGATAGACTTAAATTCGACCAATAAATTGGCCAATTTGTTGTAATATCTAAAAAGCTGCCACAAACAGCAAATTGTGACAATTTAATGACCAGATTTAAGGGATTGTTGTGTTGAGGTATGACCTCGACAATCCCTTGTTCAATTGGTCAAAGTTGCATTTGTAGCAAAGTAAAGCAGTTAATAAATTCAAATCTGCTTGTCCTCTTTGAAGAAATAAAGCAGAAAAATATAATCAACAGTGATTTATGTTTAAAAAGTTCTAACAGCAGATCTGATCTTTGATATTAACTACTGAGAATTAGATTTCTGTTGTTTGTACCGCTTCAGGGATATACATTTCCCTGTTGACCTTTATCCTAACCTGAATATTGTTGTTGATTATATTTTCCGAATATGTAATTCGACCCTGAATAATTATCTCTAGTAGCTGTGTTTCTGGAAATGGCAAGTTACACGACTCTGGAATTTAATAATGTTTTTCCGATGGAGTTATTTTTCACATTAAAATTAAATTTACTTTAAATGTTTCGTAAAATCGGTCACTGGAAAATATATTATCATTGAGTCAGTATCTAATCTTAATCTTAAAAATGTAAAACCTTACAAGTGTTCTAGTTAATCATCGTTTTATAACTTCCAGGAACCGTTAAACCGACGGTTCCATAAATTGGGAATCAATTGATGGATTTCAGTATTTTATTACTGATGTGGGTTTTATAATAATTTGATAAAATAACTTGTAATGATGAAAGAAACTAAATATTTTTTATTTTGTTTTATATTAAAGGAGTAAAAATTGAATTCAATTTAATAAATTACTCGCTGTTTTTAATGTGTTAAAAACGTACAGCAGACTTGGGTAAATACCCTATTTCTAAATTTGTTCAGTTGTCATTTTATGATGTGATTAATTATTTCATTGCAATCAATTGCACAATTTAATGTTATCATGGTACTGGGAATTTGAATTTTTATTAATTATACAGAAGAATGGTAATTTCAGGGAACTATTTTCTTTGACTTCAGGGAATTCAAATATTTAAATATATTTTTAAATTCAATTCGAGCCATAAATTATTTAAATCAAGAATGAAGTTTGTTTTGAGAAACATTTATTTGTTAAACTTGTTTGACAGTTACTAATTCTTCACCCAACAAATTTTTCAAGAAATTGTGACATTTGTCACTATTTGTGATATTTATGTAATCTTTTTACACATTACGATAAATTGGCCAAAATATTGGTAAAATTTAGAGGACCAATTTTAGAATATACATGAGTTATGGGAAGTGCAAAATGCAGATCACAGTCCTTAACAAACTTATAATTTATGTTGGACTAACCTAACCTTGTCCCTAATAATAGAAGTGTCAAATTGTAGAATGTCACTAAAAAATCACCAAAATTGACACAACAAATTGTTAGTTCTATTGCCGCCAATTTTTTTAATCAATTTTGGGATTAAATATTAAATGTGCTTTATTTATTATATTTATACTGATATATCGAATACATAAATTATTGATCACTTTCCTAGCTTTTCATGAATTGGCCTGGTTCTTTTTGGTCAATTTTCGTGATTTTTAGATTTTGACATTGTTTTGTATTAAATATTTCAAAAATGAGCTACAGTACGTGTTTGTTATTTAGTTACGTTAATCTGGTAAAAGTTTTAAATCCGTTTGTGGTTTGTGGCTTGCTGTTATCACAATAATGTTGGTAACATAAAACTTGAAAAATAAATTGGGCAATTTATTGAAACTAGCAGTGGTGTTACCAAAAATGAGCAATGACCATAAGTGTCCGATCTCATTAATAAATGACCATGGAGTAATTAAAATGACCAATTTTTCCAAATAATGTCAGTAATTATTGTTCTAAGTGAAATGTAAATGTTACATGTACGAATGGTCATTACTACTGAATGTCTCGGTCTGCGAATGGTCAAACTGGCACAGAGTGACCTGCTATTTCCCAAAAGCAAGACCTATGTTCCCGCTAGACAAAACAGTTTAACATTATTTCACCTGGTGGCGACACAGGTTCTACTTTCATAGTACATGTGAAATAGCAGGTTGCTCTCTGCCAGTTTGAAAGTCTAGCCATTGAGTAGCAGCGATCATTCATAAGTTTGATAAACATGACAAGAGACTAATTTAAAGAAACAATTTTTGAAATTCGAAAATAAATGATAATTCACCAGGTAATATACTATATTGAAATATACAGGGTGATTCACAATTAGTGAGCAAAAATGAAACCTCGTATTCATTGGTGAATTTTAAGCAGTCTTTTGTATATGTAAGTTTTTATCTAGGGTGCTTCGTAAAAAGATACAGGGTGTTAAACTTAAATAATTTTTAATTTTTTTAAGTAATTTAAAAATTAGTAAGTGAAATAATTTGAAATTCGGCACATGTATTTATGAGAACATTGTCCAAAATCTGAGGCCTTTTCCTAAAATTTAGATGCTCCAGTGGCGGAGATACAGGGTATCGGTGGCATATTTTTCTAAATAAAATGGTACACCACTGCTTTACGGTAACAATCATGATATTTTCAGATTCGTCTTTCAATTTACTACAAATTACTACTCTCTACTAGATATTTGAATAAAATTTGGTTTAAAATTATGTACATAGTAAGCTGCGATAGCAACTTTGACATTGCCCGCTATTTATGCAAGTGTGCCACAACGTTTGAACGGGAATTCTTACCTAACTCAAAATCACATGGAATATACTATTTTATATGACATTCCTCTAGCGACGAAAGAACTCGTGTAGTACCAATACGACGGTGCATTGATCTGCAACATCACCGGATCTCAACCCACTGGATTTCTTTTTGTGGGGTGCTGTTAAACGGCTGGTATACAGTGAACAAATTAATACACCTGAGCGGTTAGAAGAAAGAATAAATAATGCTTTTCAGCAGATTCAAGCAACAATAAATTTCGAACAAATTACATTTTTGTTACTAAAAAGGTGTCGCGCCTGTGTTTGTGGAAATGGAGGTCTTTTTGAGAATTTATTCAAATAAAATCATTAAAATAAACATAAGAGAGTAGTAATTTGTAGAAAATTTAAAGATGAATCCGAAAATATCATGATTGTTCCCGTAAATCAGTGGCATACTATTTTATTTAGAAAAATATGCCACCGATACCCTGTATCTCCGCCACTGTAACATGTAAATTGTAGGAAAAGCCCTCAGATTTTGAACAATGTTTACATAAATACATGTGCCCAATTTCAAATTATTTCACTTACTAGTTCTTAAATTATTTAAAAAAATTAAAAATATTTTTTGAAGTTTAACCCTGTATCTTTTTAATGAAGATAAAAACTTTATAGGAAAGACCCCTTCAGCAAAGAATACGAGGTTTCATTTTTAGTCACCATTTGTGAATCATCCTGTATATAAAAAGGTGCCACAAAAACAATGAATTGTTATTTCTTGAACAGTTTATTGAATAGAAAATCTGTAAATTTATTTGTATGTGTTTTGGCCAATTTCTTGATCAATTTGGATAAAAAATTGAAAGTATTGGTTTAAAGTAAAAATTATTTAAAATTGTACCAAATCTCTTGTAAAATTTTGTAACAAACTTTTAACATCGTCTAATTTCTTTCTTAAATTATATTAAAAGTCAACTTTAGTAAAAATAGTGTGGGAAAACATTAATTTGCTGCATTCCTACCAATCATGATGACATTTTTCCACCAAGATCGCTGAGAGTGCTGATGTTAATTGAATTGTCTGACGACATGCGTTTTTTAAGAATTTATGGCACATATTTCTGTTTGAGATATTTGATGGGTTTTGCCTTTTAGGATCGGACGTGGCGGAAGGTTCGGCCGTAAGGGGGTAGCTATAAATTTTGTAACGGAGGAGGACAAACGCACGCTTAAGGATATCGAGCAGTTTTACAATACAAAGATTGACGAAATGCCAATGAATGTGGCGGATCTTATCTAAACCGTGTTGCTGTGTGTACGACGACGTTTCCTGAAGGTCATATGGTGTGAGTATTAGCTTTCTATGCTAAAACTGCGACATATATATGCGAATATTGTGCGCCATTACGTCTCTTTAGGGCAGCGCCGTGTGTAGCGCCGCACGCCTATATAAAAACTTTTGAGTGTGTCAATTTTTTAATATATTTATCATTTTTTTCTTGTTTGGATCCCACCTGTATTGTATTGTGTAGTTTTTTTTTTAGTTACAAGATATATATAGTTAGTGTTTATAATTCGGGAGACGTGTGGCTGTATGGAGGCCCCAGGGGCCGGGGGCCGTCGCGGTCCCCGGCGTCCCGCGGGTGCTTGTTACGTTGCGATCCTCTCCACACAGTTCGTCCGTCTCCGCAAGGGTTTAGTTGGTATCTGGAAAGGTTATTATATCCATAAAAGATGTAGAAGGAAAACCTTGATTATCCTCTCTCGTGGACCTTTTTGTATATTAAGATTAATAAAAGTGGTGATAAAATTTCTAGACTTTTTTTTAGGGACGTGTCTAAAGATTTGTTGATTGACTGTTTTTTTTTTGTGTTGACAAGCGACTTGAAAGAATCAAACGGTGAGTATGGCGGGACAAATGGGAGATAACTGCTTTGCTTTTTAAATATTTGCAGGGCGTTCATCGAAAAGTAAATTCTTTTCGTCCCACTAAAAAAATTTAATTAATACAATCTTTTGCTTTATACAAAGTGATTCGTAAGTAGTGGTATGTTTAGCTGGCGGATAATAGGTGTCAAAATATTAATATTCGGCTAATCTTTTGTTTCCTGTTGTAATTCGAGAAATTAAAATTCTGAAAAATCATGTAAAATTAAAAATATACAGTGTGTTCAGTTTCAGCAAAAAAAAAAATGTACGTATACCTCCTTAAACGTACTTAGCGAACGTATTACAATGATCGAGATTGATGGAAGTCCATGGCCTACTATGTTTTTTTTACAAAATAATTTTGCAGGTCTTATCGATTGTTTATCTAAAATTTGGCAATGCAGCGTTGAGCTCTATATCCTAAATTTCATGAAATTATCTTTATTCGTAACTTTCCTACGAAGCCTTAAAATTACTGAAGTCGAAAAAAAATATTTTACTTTGATTATCCAGGAGGCCATGGAATTAAACAAAAAGTGTATATGGAAGACAAACGATCAAAATAAAAGGAAAAACTGCCTAGATCAGTTCTGCGTTAGATTATCAGCTTAATAATTTTTTATTTTTTTTATTATCGTTTTTACTTTTATTTCGATTCTTTGTGAGTTCCGTTTCACACTTTTTGTTTGATCCAATACCTAGATAGTCTAACATAATTTTTTTTCTAATTTAGTAAATTCGAGGCTTTGTTATGGATGGAATTATTTTCAATTTAAAGATTTGCAATTTAGGGCTTTTAAGTGCCATATTTTTTTTGAAAAAATGCTAATTTCTGGAAAAATTACTTTCAAAAAAATAGCGGGTCAGGGATCTCTAATTTGTTTATACACGGTGTCCCGAAATTAATGTAACAAAATTTAGTCACAGATTCTAAAGACAAATTTTTTATTTTTGGCAAGTGGCCCCCCTCTTTCGGAGTTACAGCCCCCTGAAATCCGCCCCTAAAAATGGTTTTATGACATGTGGAATCTGATGGCGCTACGCTTTTTGGCGGGAACCCCCTTAAGACAATTTTTCGTGGGCCCCCTTGTCTTTGAAGCCAAAAAATTTGTCGCATATTTACATTTCTTGAAAATTATTAGTCCACTAGAAAGCCATTAAATTTAGAAACTTTTTGTCTCCCGATACTTTTTTCGTGAAACGCAATGTTTTTGAGAAAAATGTGATCAAATGCATATCGTGAGTCGCCATTTTCCTCAAAAATATAACATTTTATGAAAAGAGACAACAAATTTTCTAAATTCAATGGATTTCTAGCTAACTAATAATTTCTAAGAAATTAAAATTTTGGTTCCAAAGGCAGGGGGCCCACGAAAATGTGTCTTAAGGGGGTTCCCCGCCAAAAAGCGTAACGGTGCCAGATTTCACATGTTATAAAAACCCTGTGTACTAAATTTAGTGATTCTCGTACAACAGGGTACTGAGATATTAAAAAAAGACTTCATAGGGTCGGATTTCAGAAGGTTGGAACTCCGAAAGAGGGCCACTTGGCAAAATTAAAAAATACAGGTCCCCTAAATTTGTCTTAACAATGTATGACCAAATTTTGTTGCATTAATTTGGAATAAGCTTAGAGAAAAGTTACTTTTCGTGCAAAATCTCCGTATAACTAAATAAAAATTAAATTTTTACTATTTAAAATGCAGCGCCCTCTACAATCTAGATCGAAATTGACGTCCTAAAATTCCCCACCCCAAACGGCCCCCACTCATTAAATTTCACGCGGAAATTGAAAATCTTCACACATAGCAAAGGAAAATTAAAAATTTAATTTTTGCTCTGACACCTTGTNTCCTCACCCCAAACGGCCCCCACTCATTAAATTTCACGCGGAAATCGAAAATCTTCGCACATCGTAAAGGAAAATTAAAAATTTAATTTTTGCTCTGACACCTTGTATCTTTTCCCTTAATATTTTAACAATTATTATTCGTAGTTAAGTGTCATACTTATGAATTACCCTGTATATGACAATAAAAAAAGTCACTAACTTTTAACAATCAGTAATTCAAAAAGTATTTGACTAGCTAAATATTTCATGTTTTCTGTAGAGCTAAAATGAAACGGCTCTTATTTTTTTCCTTTATACAGGAAAAGTGACTTCTTCAATCTGCGTTATTACCATTTTGAAAAAATCAATTGAAAAATAAAAAAATCCAATTTGTTGTTCCGTAAGTTTCGTTTTATTACAGAAAAGATTTTAATTTTGGGAGTGGGGCAAGTAGGATGAACAAAAATTGGATTGTTCTTTCAATTATTGGGACTTAAATAAAGTGACAGATTTATTTGTCACAAATTATCAAAATTCAGTGCCTTATTCTTTATACAGGGTGGCATAAAAGTATGGAAACCCCAAAAAATCTCGCAAGATATGCATTTTCTGGAAAAACCAAATATAGGAAAAGTTAGGATTTTTCCCTGGCTATTTATTCAATGGTGACCATGCAATGACCACTGAACACGTGGTCATTATGGGGTCAAGACGATTTTTCTAAATGGGAACCCTCTTTTTTATCCCGGAAACGGGAAGATATGACCTTGACCGTTTCAAAATGGTGGCGAAATCAAGATTGCGGGCGAAATTTTTAACCAATTGTCACCAAATTTTGTATTTCGAGGTCGCTGATTACGAATCGAGGTCGGATTTAAAAAAATAAAGATGGCGAATTAATTTTTCGAAAATCAACCGATTTGCACAAAACGTTGTATACGGGGATTTTTGGGATCGCTGATCACGAATCCGAGGTCAAATTTATAAAATTCAAGATGGCGGGCGATTTTTTTTTTGAAAATTAGTCGATTTGCATCAGTGATGGTATACGGCCGTTTTTGGGGTTGCTGATCACGAATGTGAGGTCAGTGACCCCCAAAACCCCCGTATATCAAATTTGGTCCCCATTGATTAAATTTAAAAAACGTCATCCACCATCTTGGATCCGCCATCTTGAATTTTGAAAATCTGACCCCAGATTCGTGATCAGCTACTTCGGAAACCTCCGTATATAAAATTTGGTGACAATTGGTTAACTTTCAAAAATTTCGTCCGCCATCTTGATTTCGCCGCCATTTTGAAATGGTCAAGGTCTTATCTGAACATAAAATTTTCGGCTTTCCATTTCTGGGGTCAAAAAGGGGGGTTCCCAGTTAAAAAAAATCGTCTTCACCCCATAACGACCACGTGGTCAGTGGTCATGGCATGGTCACCATTGAATAGCCAGGGAAAAAGTCCTAACTTTCCCTATATTTGGTTTTTCCGGAAATGCGTATCGCGAGATTTTTTGGGGTTCCCTTACTTTTGTGTCATCCTGTATAAGCATAATTATTTTTTTTTAATATTTAGCAAAAAAAGTGAATCTTCAATGCATATGGGATGCTTTTATTTAAATTGGTCTGTAAATTTTTTTATGTTCTATGAAAAATAAAATAAAAATGAAAAAAATATCCGTTAGTTTCAACCATCTTCGTACGATTTTGGATTTATATCTCGCACTAGCTTTTTACATCGGTAAATTGTGGGAGATCTTGTATACATTTTTTTTAGCCACAGTTAACACTTCTTTAGATACATTTGTGTACCTCTCCAAGAACCAAAACCCTGTATCAGTAATAAAATTGCTGCATATCATCCAGAGAAGCAAGGATATGGTTTTGTAAAACCAACCAAACTTTCGTTGTAGTATTTGTAGTATACGCCGAGGTACAGACTGAACCAAAGTACGTTGCCACCGCAGTTGCATTCGTATTCGTTGGATTTTATTTTGAAAACAGTGAAAATCAGCCGTAACTTCATTATTTATAATCCAACTGAAAAAAAAATTGAATAAAATAAACTAATTGTGGAGTTTAAGTAAATTTTAAAGAGTGCTTTTCATTTTTCAAATAAAATCCAAAGGAATCTCTACAATTTCTTGGCACATGTGTGACATTAACAAGTTTTGCACTACATAGCTTCCCGGTAGCGATAATTAAATTTGATTCACCCGAAATACTTGTTTTTCCAAAAAATTTTCTTCGGTTGAAATCTGAACTGTGTGCCGGCTAGTGTAAAGTGTTACTTTTAACCAACATGCCTTGCAAAATTTATTAAAATGAAAGAATACGAATACACTATGGCACAAATGTGGTAAATATTTATGAAAAAGATGGATCAAAATAATTGCGACGGTTGTAACAAACTCTGCAAAGTCTACATTGAAATGGTTATTGCCAAATCATATCCTTTGTCGATGATGTATTTTAATAGCAAAGTATTTAGTTTCGAATCGAGTCTTATACTGTTTCTCATTTTGCAGGCAGCAACAAACACCTCTGGGCACCAGTTTTTGGAAATAAAGATCTAAATTCCATTTTAATTTCAACTCAGTGGTTTTGCTTCTTTTTTAAACCTTACTTTTCCGTAATTCCATTTCCTAAATACATAGAGAAGTTTTAATTTATTTCAATTATTTTAACTTTAAAACTAATTATAAATAAACTTATTTTTTATTTACATTAGGCTTTAATTTCCTTCGGTACCGGCAGGGCAGATTTGAAAAATCAAATTTTATTTCATTTTTCAAATTTACACATTTAACAACTGTACATGAGGCATGTTAAAAAGTTTATATTAAAATATTTTATAACATTAAAAAACATGCAAATTGCGAAGGATAAGATTACTGAGTTATTTTTGTCTTCGGTATATTCATTTTTAATAGAAAAATATAGATCTAGGACTAAGTTAAGTGTAAAAAGTTTTGTAAAAGTTGTGACATTAATTTTTGACATGAAAAATGTTAGTCACTAATTCCTGCAAAAATATTAAAAATTGAAGTAAAATTGGTCGAGAAAAATTATAATTGTGCAGAAACTTTAAAATTAAATAAAATGAATCCATTAAACTTTTTATCAGAAGAGGCATAGACTTTACTAAAAAAAAAGGGGGAGAACACAATTTATAAAATTTGTGCTGGGAGGTATCAATTTGTTTTAATTTAAAAAGCCATTAAAGAGGTAAGTAAGTATTAGAATAATAAATTTACATTAGTTATATAAAAGATTAAGGTAATTTAAATCATATTTTAGTTAACTTATTTTTACACTGAATTTATGATTTAAGTAGGTATATTTTAAGCCAGGATATAATTGAACTGAAAAGAATCGAGTAGGCTTATACAATCGCGAGTACAACTAACTTTTACGTTTATTACAAAAAATAATTGTAATTATAAATATACAAATAAATAACTTCAACATATTAATGAAATACAAAACAGTCATAGATAAAATAGTGTATTTGTGAAAATAATATCAAAAATAAATTACTGAGTTTATATTTTCTTTAAGAATGAAACGAATACAGCGCCATCTCTTGGTTACTTATTTTTGTTAAACCAAAAATTCTCGAATATAATATACGTTCGTCATCTATCACATTACTGCTTAGGCAAATTCAACAAAATGAAATTGGGGTTAGATATAAAGGATAAGAGTATCTGTCAATCAATTATGGTAGTCGTCTCGTTACCGTGGTTTCTAAGTTTTAATTATTTACTATACCAATTACCATTAAAACAAAACTGAAAACGCCGTTTGTTAAATGAAAAATTTTATACAGGAATTTTAAATTCGACCAATGAGCTGCTCCGATTAACCCGAAAATCGTGCGCCAGAACTGATTAGTAATTCAAATGTTGCCCCCCATTTTAATGTCGTTAGGTTGGCAGCGGCTAGTGACAGTTATGCGCAGCCTCAGTTGTCAAATCGAGCTTCCGCTGCTAAAATCCTGCCCCGCCAGGCAAAAGTATTCGGCTTCAGTTCGTCGTGCGGCAACTGCTGTAATCGTTGCATTTTTAGTGGGTAGCTCCGTGTGTGAGGTGATTATTTTATTAAATTTTATCCAGAATGAGCTGGCAGGATTACGTTGACAAACAGCTCTTGGCTTCCCGTTGCGTTACGAAAGCCGCTATCGCCGGACATGACGGAAATGTGTGGGCCAAATCAGACAACTTCGATGTAAGTATTCACACATCCCTTACTGATCAGTTTCTCGTTTTTTAGACCTTGCCCTTGAATTCTTACTCTGCCCTCGCAAGGTAGTTCTTGGTCCGTAATTCTTCGCTCGCGGTGTACGGATTCTGGGAACAAAAGAAACCAAGGGCTTGGTCACATTTTTTCTTTAAGACTTTTTGTCGAAATTCGTGCCCTTAAGAACTATTTAAAGGCTGATGAGTTGTGTAGAAACTGTTGTTAAGCCATTTCAGGGTATACTTTAGTGAAATTCTCGATTTTTAGCACCAGTTTGACAAAGTAGCCGGTTAAATACAAGATGGCCGCCCTCCGAAATGCGACGTGTAGAAATATGTTGCGGTCGGGTATTTGTCGCTACCGGCTTTCAAACCGAGATAGCCTGCCATACGCCAATGAAGAGTCATCTCGATTTTTAAATTTATCTTCGGCTTACCTAAAACCTCCCGCGATAAGCGCTTTATAAAAATATAATTCAAATTACTCGGCTCCGAAACAATGGAAGATAAGAGTGGAAAACAAGTGAGTAATCCACCACTTAGCACTGTCGATACTTCGTTAAAATTATAATTGCATCTTTATCAGGGCCTTGCACATTTTTCTGTAGCGTACACTGGGTAGGTCGGCTGGTATTTTATCATCCAGCCATTAACGGAATATTCGGAACCAGTTTTCATCGCTGAATTGTTACCGTCTATCTTAGAACCGTCCAAAGTAAGAATAAAGCGTCCAGTGACATGCCAAAATGTGGACAACTTGCTTTTGCAATACAGATTTCAATTTACATCGAGTCGCGAGGGCTTTCAATTTGGAAGAACCATTCGAGCGCACGAGTTCTCATCCACCCCCTCTGAATGGGCGCGATGAATAGACGTCAGTACACGAGGGGGTTACTGAACGAACAGTCTGTTCTCTTCACTGTGGGGTATTGATCGTCCACCCTCTCCTGTTGGTCAATGAGTTCTTAGCAGTAGCCTTAACCTTTGCTATTTGGACCCCGTTTGAATATTTTGGGCAAACAGCGGCGGAAAATCCAAATTGTTTTTTTATGAGTCATAATTGAGCAGAGGCGGCACGGATATTTTTTATTTTAGGCATTAATTATATCAGTAATGCTTCTAATATAGTTAGTTACGTGTTTAGGAAGAAATTTGTATGAAAATTGGGATATGTATGTTAAAACAGGCTAACTCTGGAGTTTTCAGAAAATAGAAATGCATTGAAACGTTGATTTTGTGCATACACGAAATTTACGAAATTATGAAAAATTTGCGGCATAACTTTTAATTTTGTATTATATACAGGGTGTCGCGCTTAAATGTGATACAAAACTGTAACTTCTTTATTGTTTGCCTGATTTCAAATTTTGTTTTTAGAATGTAGGATAATATACGTCCAACTTTTTTTCCAAAAAACAGTACGTATTCTCATTCAGCATCTCTTAAAACCTCTATCACCAAGTTTCATCAAATTCGATACATCTTCAGGCTACCACACCATGATATCGTGCTTTAATGCTTATTTTTTGGCCGATTACAATTTTTTTTTAATGTAGGGTAAAAAACTGTCTAACTGTAATACTGCTTGTACGAAAATAAAACTAAAACTGTTCGTTCTATAAAAACACATGATAATTTTTTTTTAGACATACAATTTTAAATAACAAGTAATGCGTCAAAAGTTAAAAAAATAATTACCGCAGAAATTTCGATATATATTTTTAGTTATTCCTTTAGAAAATTAAAAATTTCTACGCCAATGATCTTTTGAACTTGTCACTTTACGTTGTACCTACTTATTTAAAATAAAAATCACAAACTAAATCAGATCTCTAAAACTGCTCGTTCTTTGAACGAACTACAAGAAATCCTTTTTTTTTGGAAAATTCATTGGCATAAATCGAATTTGCTGAACACTTATTGTCGAAGTTTTGACACCCCTAGTGACAATCGCTCTTTATTTTTCCTCCACTAGTTGACATTGTAAATCTTACTTCTACCTATACTCCTAAACCATCCAAATTTCATCAGTTTACATCAAATACCATTTTTTTCTAATTTCAACGGCGTTTATCTCGAAAACAAAGCAACCATGACCCGCGCTCATTAAAACTGTTCAAAATATTTGTTCTATAACTTTTTCAAAGGAACACACTTATTTTAGAATCGTCCTGTATAATTGCCTGCCTCAAATATATATTTTTCCACACCTGAAAAAATTCCTTGGAACACTAAGGAATAAAATGCCAATTACTTTTTTTCTGTTTGTATAACGGACATTAAGTACTGGCGCGTTAGAATTTAGTATTAATGTCGTATATAACAGTACAAATTTTATTAAAAGACCGTTTTGTTCTACTAAAGTTTTAATGATTTCAATTTTTCCTTAGCTTTTTTAGACAAATGTTCTTATAACGGCAGTTACCGGTGCTATTACCCTGTATATAATGCGCGAGCGTACTTATTTTTCTTTAAAAGTGTAGTATTTGCTGACGTCCTTGTTCTAAATAATTGCCACACGTCCTACCTACTTTTTGATAATAAGTAAAAATATACATGACCACTTATATGATTAATAAGCTTGTTTACTACAATCTATTGAACCAATAAATTAATTACCTACTTTATCTAGGATAGTTCCTATAATTATTTTTTTACCTAGAATGAAAATTAAATTTTTACCCTCGGTAGCTACCTACGCCTCTGCCCACTTAGTCATCGTTTATTATATTGTATGACTTGTTCATCATAATCGAGGATTACGAACGTATTTTTCTGGGAGCCTATATATTTTTTTTTGTTTATTTAAATGTACTATGATGTCGATCCTGTAACATCTAGCAGGCGCATCTCCAGTCGATTGTCGAGAAGCGCCTACTAATTTCGCTTGGATCGCAGTGTTGCCCCTATTCTTCATCCGCAGGACGTTGAATGACGATCCAGAAATAGCCGAAAAGCTTATTTGCAGTTTAAAGTATTCGATATGCGTTAAAACAAATATATTTTGATATATTTATCAAACTAGCCAATCAACCAACTAATGGGTTTTTGTTTTCCAGTCAAATCCTGTAAAAATATAAAAAGTAAACTTCAAGTTTGCGACAAATCGCACATACCGGCAACCGTGTCAAATCGTTTCGAGTATCCAATATAAATAAATAAAAAAGTGACACGGTGCTTATGCTAGTGTGATATAATCAACGAGGCCGCGTAATCTGTTTGCAAATGTTTTTCGTCTCGGGGTAGCTACGATTCCTTTTTTCACTTGTTGATAGGTTGGATCAATACACCTCCCAGTCTTACATGGTTTTGAAAGATCTTTACTAACATCGACAAAAGCTCGATGAAATTAGAAATGGAATGAAGAAACGAAACATTTTTTGTGAGAATTGCTACGTAATTATTTTTCTGATTAGTCGTATCGCGTTGGTATCAAACATGTCGATCTAATAAGTTGCGATAGAGGATATCAATGTCGAGTACTTGTACGACCTAACCTACCCCATTTCAATATTCATAAGTTGGCCACGCGGACAAATGGGCCTTTCGCTTTTGTCGGAAATGCCCCTCGCGTTAGGCAGCAGGCGAGCTTAGTCATTTGTCTGTAGATGAAAGATAAGCGGTCGTCATGGTCGTTTCATGGTAGATGGTCGATGGCACATGGCTCGAAGAGCGGGTGTCACTCGGCTGTACGCCCTTGGGTGTCTTTGTATTGTTGGATGGGGCGTTGCCACATTGTCCTGTCGTGAAATTGGTAGTCTGGGGACGTTTCGTTGTGTCTGGGGTTCGTACGAAACAAGAAGTTATGGTCGAGCCGCTTGTAAATACTTGTTTTGTAAGATTAAGTTATACCTATAGGTTTGTAGAAAATTGGTACCCCAGAATGTAGGCGATGCAAACTTTTATCCAGATCTGATCCAGAATGATTAAGGGGGTAGTTGTCAAGGGCGCAAAATGCAGAATAATCGGTGAAATTTCATGGCCAGACTAAACGTGTGTGCAAAATTTCAGCTCGATCGGTTGGGGATAACTTTTAAAATTCAGTTGCAAGATAAAAGCTTGTAATAATAAGAAACCATTGGCGTACTTTTTTTTTCTATAAAAATGTCAGTCTGTGCTCGTACGCACGCCGCTATTACAGCTAAAAATTATGTTTGTATTGAAAAACATAATTTCGAAAATATTAACTAATTTATTCTTTTCCTAAAATTTTAACACCCCGTAATTTCGCAACGGAACCGTAGTTTATAAAGCAAACTATTATTAATTTTCCATGTAGAATCACACTCTTGAGTATTCGCATTATCATTAAGGAACACCCTGTATATATGATATTATTTTATAATTGAAAAGTGATGGTGGCAAAAGGTAACACTTTTTTATTATATCCCAATTGTACACTAAAAATTACTTACAATGCTTTTGAGCTTATGAAGTGCAACTTTTAATAATAATAATCAAGTGTCCTTAAGACATATATTTGTAAAATTATTTTAAAATATCATTGCTTTCTGAACTCATAACATTTTTGTATTTTCTTTAAATCTTTGGAAATTTGAAAGGGATGAGTTGCAATTAAATTCATTGGACCAAATAAAATATATTTTATATCAATTTCTTCATCGACATCGTCTTTCTTTTCAGAATTAAAAATGACTAGATTTTGTCATAAAAATAGCAGCGACGTATTTAAAAAAAAATAATCCTATGATGGCCCCTCGAAGACGAAACGTCGGATTGCAAAAATGTTGACTCCATTGGATAGAGCGAAAAAAGTGGCAATGTAAATATGCAATTCGTTTTCAAATAAAGCCAGAAAAAAAAAATAAAACGAGTTTACAAAATTTCGGGGTTTCGGATTTCGCGTCAACAGTAGGCTTTTTTGCAGTTAATATTTTGTATTGCTGAAATCTCAAATCATCCTGAGATAATTTATCATCCGTGCATTTGTAATTCGTTTTAGATGTTTAAAGCAATACTGTACAGAAA